CTTTAAATATTTTTTTACAATTTACTGTTGGTTTATTTTAATATTTGAGGCAATTAATGATTTTGTTGTTACTTTTTACTTTCAGTACTTGAGTACTTTAAGAATGAGATACTTTTTTACTTGAGTACATTGAACATTGGATACTTTTACTTAATTAACAACGTCCAGTACTTTTTACAACTATGTTTACGATACAGGGAAAGATTACAGGAATATATAGAAAATGAACGTTACATTTCACTAGAGAAAACAAGTCTCTCTTATGGGGTAACTCGCTCGTTTTACACATGTTTTGTAGACGACGAGCTTTATATGAATATTTTGTATTAATATACTGTATTATCAGTGCAACTGTGTCCATGAAAGAGACCACACACACACACACACACACACACACACACACCTACCTTTGATCAAAAGACTTACGCAACAGAGAGACAGAGCCTATTATCTGAATGACCACAAAAAACTGCGAACAGATCCCTTCGCAACCAAGTCATCTTCGAAATACGCACTGCAAAGAAGTCTCACTACCCAAATTGCAACACCTTAAGCAGACCTACAACAGTCAATGGTATGGAAAGCTTAAAGAGCTCTGTGGGCTAAACAATAAGACACACCCCCTCCCCTTCCTTAGCCATTTCACTAATGTTGACGCATTTGATCAATCAAACAACCATTTCGCAACTATATGCCAGGCGTTCCCCCGGCTTGACACAACCAGTCTACCTGCTTACCTACCAGCCCCCTTACCCACTGACTTAGTAGAAAAATTTGAAGTAGCAAAACGTCTGGACAAACTGAAGCTAAAGCGCTCCACCACCCCATTGACCTGCCAATGAAACTCTACCAGGAGTTCTCCCCGGAACTAGCTAAACCCCTCTGCTCCATCATCAATGCTTCTCTCAGCCAAGCAAGAGACCCAGCTGACTGGAAGACCTCGTATGTGTCACCAGTGCCCAAGGCAACCGACCCACAATCCTTAAATGAGTACGACTCAATGCCATCACCCCAGCACCCAGCTTAATCTGTGAAAGTTTTGTGTTTGACTGGGCTTATGCTGATATTGCAGGCGTCGTAGATCCTCAGCAATTTGGCAATATGAAATCTTCCTCCACCACTCACTGTCTTGTCAACTTTCTCGATCACATATACCGCCATTTGGAAAAACGAAAGACGTCTGTGGCTGTCGCCTTCATTGACTTCACCAAAGCATTTGACACACAAAATTAGGCCCGTTGTAAAAGTAATTTCTCCCGGACTCTGAAACCACACGTAACAACCAGAGCAGTTGTACGCTTCTTCCGCGGCTAGGTGTTCGCATATTTGTACACGAAATACGACGAATTTCAGGCTCATTTAAGTCTTAATTTTTGCATTTACAGAACTTTAACTTGTTCATCCTTATTTAAAGCATCTTGTGAGTAATGATATTAAGGTTTCAATTATATTTGAGTAATTATCAATATTGTTACACCAACTTCACCAACGGCTAATGAAATCGTACAGCGCCCACGTAAAAATGGGCGGAGCTAAAACTGGTGTCAGCTAGGTGTAATCCTTTTCAATTCTTTCTCGCCATATGCTTTGTTTTACGTCCTATTCAACATACTATCGTAATAGAATTATTTTTATTATTATATTAGTTTTTTATTGCCTTGCATGCCTCCAACTCTTCAATATTAATCAAAATATTCTCCTTAAGCGGCCATGATCAGCATATTTACCCATAGGAGAAACTCTCTGATTGGTTGTTAGCTATTCGGGCGATGCTCACGCTAACACTTGATCAAGGTGTTTGCTTTTCCCTCTCAACACTTGAGAACTGAACCTCGGCGAGGTAGGTTCTCTCTGCTCCCGAGGTACCACGTGACCATGTTCACCTGCAACCAGGCGAAGGTTGTTAGACTGCATCCAGTCAAGCGCCCTTCGCGCAAGCAACTCAACCTCCTTGTCCTGAGGAAGTTTTTTGACTCCTCGGGAATCACGGGGGTGACAGGGGTCGTCCGCAGTGACAGCGGTGACCTTATCGTCACCTTCGCGGGATGGGGAGAGGCCCAGCAATTAGAAAACATAAGACAAATCAATGGAATCCAGATCCAAGTTGAAGCCTGCCTACAGGACAACTTGGTTTTGGGAGTCATCTCCCACACAGAAATCGAACATCTGGAAAAAGAAGAACTGGCCGAGCTGATCGGAGACCAGCTCTCAATAGTTCGGAAGCTGACCAGTACAGCTGCCCTGGTTGGCTTCCCTAAGAAACTTCCTAGCTCCGTTTTGATGGGATGGGAGAAGATCCCAGTAAAACCGTACCAGCGAAGACCTACTCGTTGCTACAAATGCCAGAGGTACGGCCATCTGGCGCGGAAGTGTCGTGCTCGGGAGGTGTGTTCAAGCTGCGGGACACCCGGGCACCAGGACACCAACTGCTTGGCGGCCGCCAAGAAGTGCGCAGCTTGTGGTGGCCATCACTCCTCCTCCGACCGGGAGTGTCCCAAGTGGAGGGAGGAGTGCAGGGTGGCCAAGCTGCGGACTAAGGAAAGACTGAGCTACAAGGAGGCTCTCCTTGTAGTGAAAAATCAAGAAAAGACCAAGCAAGAACAAGATCACATCAAGCAAAAATCAAGACCCCAAGAAGACCACCGAAAAAGAAGCCAAAATTAAACCCGATTTCATTACACTATCTTTAACGCCGTTTATAGAAGTGTATGAGAATATTCCAGAAGAAGACCAGGAAGAAGAATGGAAACTGAAAAGCAAAAGAAGAAACAAGAAAGGAAGAAGTCCAACCAATCAGCTTCGGCCGAAATAGCCTAACGGCGAAGTGGCCAGTAATCCCCAATACTAGTCTAGTCCCTCTCAAGGTGTGATGCGCAGAACTCAGCAGAAGCGTCCGAGTAGACAGAATAGCTAACGCATTAGCTATTCCGCGCATCTACAATAAACGCCTAAAATAATAAAGAACAAGACAACCGCCCGAGCGACTACTGAGCTGTAAGTGCTGGATATTGTATAAGATATATCAAATTAAATATATTGATAAGTGGCCGAATAAAGAATAAACTAAGTGTAGGTGGTTCCATTGCATTTATAACTCCATGAAAATAAGTACTTATAAAGTGAAGCTGACTCATTTAAGTAGGCCTTTATCATATTAGGATTACCAAACTTAAATTGTTTGGTTTGACAACATTGGTATAACGTATAGGCCTAGTCTAACTTTGTTTTCTATTTTTTTTAAGTTTTTTAATTGTTATTGGTATGTGCAAGCGGTTTAACTAAGATCTTGGCTGTGTTTTTGTTTGGGTGAAAAACTTTCGGCTGTTTACGTCTTCTGTGTTGTTAAGAATCTAAAGTTTCGTTACTATTAATACGGCAATTACAAATATATAATGTTTTTTTTTGTTTTTTTTTTTTTTAACAGGGCAATACCATGAGAACCTTGAGGCTCGTCTTTGAACGATTTCAACTATATTTTATCTACTTCTAAATGCAGTCACCACACTTAGACGGGGTCCGGACAAAAGCCCCTCAGTGAAAGTACAAAATAAGTTAGGTTAGGGTGGGTTGGGTGAGGTAATGTTGGGTTGGGTTGGGTTAGGCTTAGGCTTGGTTAGGTTAGGCTAGGTTCGGTTGAGTTAGGTTACTATAGGTTGGTTGGGTTAGGTTAGTTTGGATCAGGTTAGCTTAGGCAACGGTAGGTGGTAAACACAGGAGTGGAGCCAACTGTACTGTGTGCTGTCTCAGTCATCAGTAGAAGTGACCCGTCTCTTAACACTTTGGGCACAGTTTAATTTCGACTCCTTCTGGTGATCCTTAGCTAAAGTTTTCTGTTTGGTCTTGGACATACAGTAGCGAGTAAAGTAACTGCACAAGCCAATTAGTTTAAAGAAAATCTGGTGTCATAATTTTATGAAACCGGTTTGTTGAACCGTTGAGCGTAGTACCGATTTATTGTTATTGTCTCAAGAGAAACAGAACTGCAATACTGAATTGACTTCACTCATGCTTATAATTATGAACTAAATTATGGGTGGTGAAGATTGAATGGGTGCGTGAGTTAGTGAGGGTGAGTGGCCGAGTGTGAGCGAATGAAAGTGAGTGGCTGAGTGTGAGCGACCGAGCGTGAGCAAATGAGAATAAGTGGCTGAGTGTGAGCGAATGAGTGGGGTGGTTGTAAAGAGCTGAACACTTCTATCAGATAACATATATCTTAACTGCGCACGGTTATATCACACGGAGTAATCTTGCCTTTCAGTCCAGGGAATTCTAATCTTTCTTATCAGCAGCGTCACTTACAGTTCTAAACTTATCATTTACTATTAATATACCTCGATAACATTTCAAGTTACTTAATTACTTAAAACTCCCAAATTACTTTTATATTACTTATCAGGTATGAGCGTTTACTAGCGTGTGTGTTTGTGAGTATTTAAAACATGTGATGATGCCTATTGGAATAAAGGTGATAGTTATAAGGAAATTACTACCTTGCATCTGGCTTATCACCACGATTAGATGGGGTTATCAGCGTGATGACACACACTGGCGGGAGACCCAGGTGTATTCTGCCTGGCACAGTGTTGTGGAGTTTTACTTGCCGGAATTAACACTCCTGTCCTCAGCGATAATCTTCCCCAGGTTTACAGGAGAGTTTGTGTAAACGTGAGTTAAGAAGGTGTTTAAAAGCCTCTGTCTCTGGCTTCACCATTAGTTTATTTTAGCTAATGGTATTGGCACCCATGTATCGATTACAATCTTTTTTAAACAGTAAATAAGTGTTCTGTTGATGTGTAGAGATAATTTGTTAGAAATATACTTATTGGTAGTGATATTAAGTAGTTTGGCGGCCATGAAGACGAACAAATGCATAAGGTATCGTAGTGGCGTCACCTAAACCCTCATACTCGCTCCATACTGTAGATAAAAAAAAAAGGCGTGGTGTTGACAACACTGTATGGAGGTCGTCTTGCCACCCCTTGGGTCTACAGGAGAGAATTTTGACCTTATTTGGTTATCTGGAGAGTTATGTGACTGTACTTGTTTACCTGGCTCTCGACATTGAGTGGAAAATCAGAGCACAAAGCAATAAATCGAGATTAAATGCAGCACCAAGTAACTCGACGCCACACCCACACCTGCTGGCCAACGGCACCAGTTAACACCTGCGCCAGTGAATGTTGTGACTGTGTTGTACACGGTATTCGGACGTTTCGGCCCCACAAGTTTGGGCTCCAGACATTTGGACCACGAGCTGTATGTACTGTAGGGTGAACTTTTGGGCCATGGCCCAAAAATTTCCTGAGTGTAAATCATAATCCCCTTAGGCTTAATACCCCTGGGAACTTTCCAGTCCGGAACCTTCAGTTCGGTTAGGTTAAGTTTTAGGAGTTAGGTGAACCCTAGTACTCGCAGGGAGCGTCGCCCCGAGTCAAAATATTTCATAATATTCATCAGAAGGGTCATTGAAAGTGTCGTCCTTGAGGTGTCTAATCTCCATGTGATCCAGAAACAGTTATTTTCCTCCGCCAGAAGATTAAGGGAATCATCGGTGAAAGTATCACAAACAGTATAACAAGACTTGATCACTCCACGGTGTCCGTTTTCTGAAATCCTCCGAACAATTTTCGAAACCTCGTTCACTGCAAGACTAATACGCCTCACTTACTACCTCGGCAAAGAAAATTCCCTTCAAGTTCGTGAGAGTTTTTCTCGCTTGATGTAAATGACACAAGTAGGAACTAGGTTTTCTTTTACAAGGTAATGTACTTTATTAAGTTAGAACAGCAATAAAATGGCAGGTTAAAAAGCGGAGACTTACAGCACACGTAAACAATGTACCTGAGGTTCCAATGCAGCTCAGCTTCACTAAAAGTCACAACAGCAATATTCAATTATTCAGATAGATCATGAGGAGGCTAGGCGGGGACTTGTCTCCACTGTGCAAGTAGACAGGTTCGCACACCATGACGGACAAGACGGACAAGACGTCTGTGTAAGGTAAGTGGAAGGTAGTGTTCCTGGCTGTGAACTGGCTGGTGCCCACTCTAGCGTATTGCCAGATACCCAAAGAATGTTCTATATTACTGAGGGTATATACAAACACTTGTTGTCTTTAAAAGTAGGTTCTATTCTCGTACGGGAGATATATTACAGTAGGACGCAGGAAGCCTGTGGGCACGCCACCAGGACTCGGTCTTGACTACCTCTACATCTATCTATGTATTACTACGCACTGACCTGTACAGATGCCAGCATTCACAAGCTGAATACATAAAGTATAAATGTGATAATTTATATACATAATATGGTGCACAATAAATGGAATATTACATAGAATTAATACATGTTCTGTAATACTTTACTATACATAATTAATAAGAGTAATATAAGAGTAATATAATAATATACAGCTGAAGGTACTACTTTGTGTCCATATATATCATACACCCACCTCATCCGGCGCCAGCACCTCGGTACTATCCAGATAAACCTAACCTACATTAACCTAAGTTCACCCGAACTTACCTTACCTAATTTAAGTCAGAGCCGAATAGAGAGAGTTTGGTCAATTTGGTGATCGAACTTTATTGGCTGAGCCAGTCCTGTGACATACGGGCGCCATATTGGTAATAATATGAGGACCCTTTCATTAATAAGGGTTTCTCCATATAATTTGATCTTAATTATAAAACTGATCATTATGTGGGAGACAACCCGAAAAGACTTCCCACCCGTTGAGTAACAACATGGCGCCTGGTGAGGTTGGCCAAACTCTCTCCATCTAGTGGCAGTCTTTGAAGGTGGCCAAATAATAGTATATTTCAAGAGGCTTCCACAGCTGAAAATATCCATAATTCACCAATTTTTTTGATGACCAATTTTCATGATTTTATCGCAAAGTTCTAATTTAAATGACTTGAAATTTTAGATTGTGCCGCAACTCTCCATGGACACACTGCTGGTTATTTTGTCATCATTTGTAGGAGACAGGAAATTCTGTGGGAATAACCACTCAAACAGGACCCAGCAGTCGTGGGATACGCTCGGAGACACACACAGAGGAACAGACGGGAGGAGCAGGAGAATCGGACAGTGAGGCAGGATGGGCAACAGTAAAAGCTGCTTTTCTGAGGAGGAACTACAGGACTATGAAGACTTGACCTACCTCACGAGGAAGGAAATACTTCTGTAAGTAACTTAGCTTACTAGCCATTCGGGCGGTCTATCCAGCGTGTTAGAACTTGAATGTCCGTCTCATCATTTGTCTACAGTCACTCTCCAAAGTACCTACGGCTATACATCCTGTTTATGATGATTAATCCACAACTTTAAAAAACTAAAGATTTTAACATCACTAGTATCTGGTCCTCGGCTAACATTCCTTCCTTCCTGCGTCACCCTCCACAGGGCATGGAGCAGGTGGATGGAGCTGGTACAGTGTCAGGACTCCAGCAACAAGTCGGCTCGCTACCCCGACAAAGTCATTCACCAGCTGCCAGAACTGAAGGTAAGAGAGAGAGAGAGAGAGAGAGAGAGAGAGAGAGATTTAGATGGCTATCAACGCCAGGGCTAAGTCTCTGGTACTGTGACACTGTGAAGATCTGAGGAAACACTTTGTCGCCACATAACTTGTAATATTAGTGACATTAGTTATCAATGTACTAACTGGGAAGGAGGGCTTTCACTCTAGAGACTTTATTATAACGATATACAGAATAATAGTAAAGGACTCTGTTGCATCTGAAGGCGTGACAGAGTACATGCACCGAGTCATGCCCATGTACTTTTATGTGTACTGTTGGATACTCGTTTAAATGTTTTATTTTAGCTTTACCTAAATCTTATTAGCTCTGTTGGCCGAATTTTTAGGTTGTCAGTTAATTGTATGTCTGCCTTTCCTGACTCAAGGACAAACAAATTCGATTCGCATGTTTCTGGTCGGGCAAACGAGCAACCCCGCACTATAACACACATTAAAAATTCATGGCCACCTTTGTTTTGTTTTTTCTCTGACTTATATAACATATACCCGATTACTCCTTTTTGATAAACGTAAATCTTTACCTAGAAATTTTCAGCTATTGCAGCAGCGTATTGTCAAGCCACTTGTAGCATCAACGAATATGTGTAGGAAGTCCAGAGGTAAACACTAACATAATGATCCTATTAATGATAAGTCCTGATATACTTTTGGGCGTGAGACGTGAGAGCTTACAGTGATGGTCATCCATTCTCTACTTGAAATCTATTTTGTTATGGAGAGATCCGAATCCAGTTACAAGCGACGGTGCATTTCCATTTTAATTTCACTTTTGAGAGCTGAAATGCTATGAATTTCTGAAAGAGTCGCTTTGAGTTAAGGACACAGCTACGGAGTTTCCTGGAAAAAAGTGGAGTAGTGTGGACTGTCAAGCACTGTGACTCAAATTATGTATTTAGTGATCTATACCGCAAAGGTTAAGGTCAAACTCAGAGCAGAACTGAGAAACTTTTTATATATAATTATTTTGATATTTACCATTGATAAGAGACACAAAGTATGTTGGAGGGTCTATGAGAAGCTTTGAATATAATTTTCTCATGCCCGAGTTACTCCATATTCAAGATAAAAATAACCTGAAGGATCTGCTCGCCCAAGCTATCGTTTCCCTTAAACCCGAAATATCTGGAGACCCGAACTTAGGTTGAGTTCTCATGGTCGGCCCCCCCCCCCCCAAAATACAATACTTACTGTGTCCCTGCACTCATTGGATCACCCTGTATCTGCATTTACAGTTTATCACACTGTACCCTCAGTACTTGAATCAGTGTGTTCCTGAATCAAGACCCTGAAGCATCCCACTGTATTTCTGTTTCCCTAAAATATTGTTTATTTATTCATACTGACTTTGTTAGTGGACGAGGCATTTCTATATTTTTTTAAGTTCTATCCAGCATCCCTCTATCTCAGAACCCCTTTATCTCAGTATTCCTCTCTCCCAGCACCTCTTTATCCCTCTACATCTCGGCACCCTTTTATCCCTCTATCTCGGCACCCTTTTATCCCTCTATCTCGGCACCTCTTTATCCCTCTATACCAGCACTTCTTTATCCCTCTATCTCAGCACCCTTTTATCCCTCTATCTGAGCACCCTTTTATCCCTCTATCTCAGCACCCTTGTATCCCTCTATCTCAGCACCCTTTTATCCCTCTATCTCAGCACCCTTTTATCCCTCTATCTCAGCACCCTTTTATCCCTCTATCTCAGCACCCTTTTATCCCTCTATCTCAGCACCCTTTTATCCCTCTATCTCAGCACCCTTTTATCCCTCTATCTCGGCACCCTTTTTATCCCTCTATCTCGGCACCCTTTATCCTCTATCTCAGCACCCCTTTATCTCTATCTCAGCAGCACCCTTTATCCCTCTATCTCTTTTATCCTCTATCTCAGCACTTAACCCTCTATCTCAGCACCTCTTTTTATCCTCTATCTTCAGCACCCTTTATCCCTCTATCTCGGCACCCTTTTTATCCTCTATCTCAGCACCCTTTATCCCTCTATCTCAGCAATCTTTTTATCCCTCTATCGCTTCCTTTATCCTCTATCTCGCCTTTGTATCCTCTATCTACATCCCTCTATCTCCGGCACCCTTTATCCCCTTATCTCAGCACCCTTTATCCCTCTATCTCAGCAATTCCTTTATCCCCTATCTCAGCACCCTTTATCCCTCTATCTCAGTTACCCTTTATCCTCTATCTCGGCACCCTCTATCTCAGCACCCTTTGTCCCTATCTGTGCACCCTTTATCCCCTCAGCACCCTTTCTATCCCTCTATCTCAGCACCCTTTTATCCCTCTATCTCAGCACCCTTTTATCCCTCTATCTCAGCACCCTTTTATCCCTCTATCTCAGCACCCTTTTATCCCTCTATCTCAGCACCCTTTTATCCCTCTATCTCAGCACCCTTTTATCCCTCTATCTCAGCACCCTTTTATCCCTCTATCTCAGCACCCTTTTATCCCTCTATCTCAGCACCCTTTTATCCCTCTATCTCAGCACCCTTTTATCCCTCTATCTCAGCACCCTTTATCATTCGCACTCTTTATCCTCTAGCATCCTCTATCTTCCCTCTATCTCAGCACCCTTTATCCTCTATCTCGGCACCCTTTTATCCCTCTATCTCAGCACCCTTTTATCCCTCTATCTCAGCACCCTTTTATCCCTCTATCTCAGCACCCTTTATCCCTCTAGCCCTTTATCCCTCTATCTCCCTCTATCTCAGCACCCTTTATCCCTCAGCACCCTATCATCCCTCTACCAGCATCTCCCTTTTCCTCCATTCTCAACTCTTTTATCCCTCTATCGGCACCCTTTTATCCTCTATATCTCGCACCCTTTTTATCCCTCTATCTCGGCACTTTTATCCCTCTATCTCGGCTTCTTTATCCCTCTATCTCCTTTTATCCCCTATATCTCAGCACCCTTTTATCCCTCTATATCAGCACCCTTTTATCCCTCTATCTCAGCACCCTTTTATACCTCTATATCTCGGCACCCTTTTATCCCTCTATCTCGGCACCCTTTTATCCCTCCATATCTCGGCACCCTTTTATACCTCTATCTCGGCACCCTTTTATCCCTCTATATCTCGGCACCCTTTTATCCCTCTATCTCAGCCCCCCTTTATCTCAGCTTCCCTCTATCTCAGCCCCCCTTTATCTCAGCTTCCCTCTATCCCAGCACGCTGTAGCTGTATCTTAGCACTTCCATAACACCATGTATTCACGTCTCCTACATGTGTGATGCAGCACAACCCATTCTGTGAGAGAATCACTCGGGTGTTCTCGTCGGAACATGACTCGAGGATGAGCTTCGAAGACTTCCTTGACCTACTGTCTGTGATGAGCGACAAGGCGCCACTCCAGCTCAAGGCCTTCTACGCCTTCCACATCTTCGGTATTATAACTATAATCTATTTGCTGTATATCTAGTGTTTTAGTGAGGTGTGTGGAAGACACGATAATTTTTCTTTGGAGGAGGCTGAAATGTGAAGTGGTTGAAGAGGGATTAGGGAAGTGTTAATTAAGGAAACCACTAAGAGTGGTGCAGTACTGTAGTGGCGAGCAGAGTCACTTATGGTGTTTATAATCTCCCTGTGCTATACCAGGTTTAGCATTGTTTACTTACTGTTATCATTACTAACTGTAGTACAATATGTTTCCGTCAGACTTTAACGAGGACAAGAGTCTGGACCGAGATGACCTCGGGCTGGTGGTGGACAAGCTGACAGGTGATTCGGGTCTCCTGCCTGAGGAGAAGGAGAAGCTCGTGGACAAGGTAAGACGGAAGTCAGAGAGAGGGAGAATACAGTACTAGTAGTTCCTAAATACAGAGTTGCAGCCAAGTAAGTGGGCACTATGTTGCATGATGTGTCCTGTCTCCCTCACTTCGATACCTACAATCGCGCTGGTTTTTACAGGCTATTTCAGTGATAATGGTTTTTAACGCTAGATTTTAACACATTTAAGTATTCATCATAGTCATACCTTACAAAAGTCTATTATCGATGCAAGGTGACAAATGCAAGTACGTATATAATAGCCTTAGTCCAAGCTTGTAAAAATAAACTATGATCAATTTTGCGTCATGTCCACTGAATTATTAACTTTTAACAACCATTATATTGATCTGAATAATTCTGAATGAATTGTGTAAACCGAAAAAGGTCAATTGAACTCGCCATGATTGTTCTATATAGTTGACTTCTTCTGTGATTATATTCGACACACTAAAGGCTTTCACTCTTCATATCATTAATGTCCTGTGCCCGTACATACTGTTCACACCACATATGTAGACTACAGTATACAGCATAGGACAGGCCTCCCGTATAATGCCCACACTAGTTGCGGAACCTGACGCAAAGGAACAAAGAGGAGTGGGTCCTGTAGTACAGTACATTACACATTTGTGGAGATACTGGTAATAATGTTGAGGTTTGGAAACTATATAGGTCCTATGAGTCACATGGCCCACAAATTTTGGACTCGGCATGTTGCAACTCTGTACATTGTAACTCTTGGTATCAGTACAAAATTCCTTTATAGCTACACACCTTGGAGAATTATGAAAGACATAATGGTTCATATTGTGCACCAGGTGTCAGATTCATTCTACAGTAAGCTTAAAACACTGGTACAATCCTCTGTGTTCTCTGATCACAACACCACTATACAGTAACTATTCTATATTAATCTCATGAAACAGACAAAACCTCCCCTGTTCAAGGATCACAACATTGATACAAACACCCGTATCCTAAGCTTATACCATACCCGCGTTAAATCAGTCGTCTGTGTTCTTAGCTCTTAACATTGATAAGATAACCTGTGTAAAAATTATAAAAACTGTAAATTTCCAACGACGTGAGCTCATGACACTGTAGGGTATGACTGTGTAGTGAGCTCATGACATTACAGGGTAATACTGTGTAGTGAGCTCATAACACTGTAGGGTAATACCCTACAGTGTTATGAGCTCACTACACAGTCATACCCTACTAGGGTATGACTGTATAGTGAGCTCATGACATTATAGGATAATACTGTGTAGTGAGCTCATGACACTGTAGGGAATGACTGTGTAGTGAGCTCATGACATTATAGGGTAATACTGTGTAGTGAGCACATGACACTGCAGGGTATGACTGTGTAGTGGGCGCATGACATTATAGGGTATTACTGTGTAGTGAGCTCATAACACTGTAGGGTATTACTGTGTAGTGAACTCATAACACTGTAGGGTATTACTGTGTAGTGAACTCATAACACTGTAGGGTATTACTGTGTAGTGAACTCATAACACTGTAGGGTATTACTGTGTAGTGAACTCATAACACTGTAGGGTATGACTGTGTAGTGAGCTCATAACACTGTAGGGTATGACTGTGTAGTGAGCTCATAACATTGAAGGATATGACTGTGTAGTGAGCTCATAACACTGTAGGGTATGACTGTGTAGTGAGCTCATAACACTGTAGGGTGTGACTGTGTAGTGAGCTCATAACATTGAAGGATATGACTGTGTAGTGAGCTCATAACATTGTAGGGTATGACTGTGTAATGAGCTCATAACATTGAAGGATATGACTGTGTAGTGAGCTCATAACACTGTAGGGTATGACTGTGTAGTGAGCTCATAACACTGTAGGGTATGACTGTGTAATGAGCTCATAACATTGAAGGATATGACTGTGTAGTGAGCTCATAACATTGTAGGGTATGAATGTGTAATGAGCTCATAACATTGAAGGATATGACTGTGTAGTGAGCTCATAACACTGTAGGGTATGACTGTGTAATGAGCTCATAACACTGTAGGGTATGACTGTGTAGTGAGCTCATAACACTGTAGGGTATGACTGTGTAATGAGCTCATAACACTGTAGGGTATGACTGTGTAGTGAGCTCATAACACTGTAGGGTATGACTGTGTAATGAGCTCATAACACTGTAGGGTATGACTGTGTAGTGAGCTCATAACACTGTAGGGTATGACTGTGTAATGAGCTCATAACATTGAAGGATATGACTGTGTAGTGAGCTCATAACACTGTAGGGCATGACTGTGTAGTGAGCTCATAACACTGTAGGGTATGACTGTGTAATGAGCTCATGACACTGTAGGGTATGACTGTGTAATGAGCTCATAACATTGAAGGATATGACTGTAGTGAGCTCATAACACTGTAAGGTATGACTGTGTAGTGAGCTCATGACACTGTGAAGCCTTTCTTTACAACACAATAAGAGAAAATTTTGTGTAAGCCTTCATGAAGTGTTAGGTTATGAGTGTGGGTATGGAAGTTGACTAACCTGCTGTGTCCTCTCGCCGCAGCTACTGGAGGAAACAGACCTGGATGGCGGTGGCATCTCCGAGGAGGAGTTCAAGCACCTACTCACCAAGTGCCCCGACTTCATCCACTCCTTTAGGTTCTCTATTTAACGATAATGTAAGAACGGGATATAAACGTCTACCGAATATAACGTAAAAAAGACGATATATGATTCAAATACTTGTTCATGGAAGTAATTCTTGTGAAGAGAAATTTAAAAAAAAAATCGGAAGCAAGTGAAACTGTAAACTATAATATCTAAAATTCCCTGTCGTGTATGTGGTACTTAATATGTCGCTAAGAGAATTAAACAGTTGAAGATCGCGGCTGGTGTACAGTACCTCGCTCACCATATACACCCATCTTGTATTCTTCTGAGTGGGTTGACTAGGGAAATGATCAGTGATCAAAATTAGTGTTAAAATATTGGCTGAAGTAATTATTCATATATAATAATCATATGCCATAAACCAATTAGTTATGTTAGAAAATTATAACTGCTGAAACAAAATACCCTACTGGAAATAACCATGTGATGGTTTTGTTCAATTCAATTTCAATTGTTTATTCCTTGACAGAGGAAGCGGGATCCTAGTGCTGTCACTAGGTACCCCTGTACAATGACACCAGAAGCATCTGGCAAGTGTGACAAGTATATACAGTATAAATATTATAAAGAGGCTTACTAAGGCCTAAGGAAGGAAGGATATTCCTTTAACACATAATCAATATTATTTACAAAATATCTGGCCAGTATGGGGAGGATCATCGTGTCTCCGTCAGGGGGTCGTGGAGTGGTGGTCCAGCAGGCGTCACGGAGGCGTTGTGTGTGGGGACATCTTAGGAGGCATGCCCAGTACTTGCCAACAGTGCGGGCGGGTCGTGTTGCGTCTCTGTAACAAAGCGTGTTCGGCATCCGGGCCTTCGATGTAGAGCGGCAGAAATTGGACAGTGATTACATAAGTTCGTCAAGATCGTCTTAGTGAGGTGAAAGTGTAAATCGATGTCGGACTTTTCATGCTAGACACGATTGTATTTTTGAAAACTCAATTTCCACCGAGTTGGAGGTACAGCCAGGGTCACAGGCCTATAACCACACAATCACTGCCACATGACAAAGCTTTTATTTTATTTTATTTTTTAGGGTGTTGTGGTCACGGCTGTGATAAAGGCCAACCAGGGAGTGTAGTACTGTGCCTTCAGTTAAATCAGTTCATAGTTGTCATCAGTGAATGCAGAAGAGACTATAATAACTTAAAGTGAATACATATTGGCAATCGAGCTGGTAAGGACAACTGCCAGCCTATTCGTGTCATAGGTGCCACAGAGACTTTAAATTTTATTTTGTTTGTGTGCTTTCTCAAGGACTGAAACTGTGTTTATAATACACCACTCACAGGGAGATACAGTGTACACAGTGATAGTTCATAGTGTCATCAGTGACCGCTGAAGTTGTAAATAACTTAAAGTGAGCGCTCACTAGCAAGCAAGCTGGAAAGGCACCGTGCCAGCTGAAACCAAGTCGTGTCATAGGTGCCACAGAGACTTTAAATTTTATTTTATGTTGATTGTGTGCTTGCTCAAGGACTGAAACTGTGCCTACAATACACCATTCACAGGGAGATACAGTGTACGCAGTCGCAGACGACAACTCCATAGGCAACAGAGAGTAGCTAAGTACTTTTTTCTCTCTTTATTTTCTTTGAAATAGGTGTAGATCTATACACAGTCTGCACCCCCCCCCCCACAACAACAACAACCATGAGTTTGGTATGTGATTACTGCAGGGAGACGTCGGATATGGAGGATGCAGGCCTAACTAATGCAACGTTTAGGAAGTTACTAACTGCCGTAAAGCTTGATGGCTGTTGCTGGTATTGCCCTGGCTGCATAGTCAAGGTGAATGAAGCGATTGCAATCCATAAGGGAACGAGTTCTCTAGGGACGAAAATAGATGAAGCAGGAGCCCTGCTGGTTGACAAACTGGAGCAAGTTGAGAAAGAGATCCTTGCTAAGACTGAGGAAGTAGCTAATAGAATGGAGGTGGTTGCTAAGAGGAGCTATGCGGACGTATTAGGAGGGCCACGGGTGGGGGGGGCGGAGAGTAATGCAGAATCAGTACAGGTTCTACAGCAGATTGGGACTCTGAAAAAGTGTGTCGAAGAAATGAAAATTAACGGACCTACTGTTAGGGGAGAGGAGGAACACCAGGAACGGCTCCAGCGCAGGAACAATGTAATAGTTTTTGGAGTCCCAGAGAGCCAGGCGGAGGGAACTGTGAGTAAGGAAACACACGACAAGGTGCTGTTTCAAAATATTTGCACAGAGGTTCTGAAGATTCCAGCAACCCCTCAGGATGTGAGGAGACTGGGACAAAAGCAGGGGGTTAAGCCTCGCCCCCTCAGGATCACACTAGGGAGTGAGGAGGAAAAATGGCAAGTTATCCGGCAGGCAAAAAACTTAGCAAGGAGCGAGGCATTTCGAGATGTATTTATTCACCCAGACCGCACGGTAATGCAGAGGGAACAGCACAAGAAGCTCCTGCTGGACTTGAAGCAGAAGAGGGAGGAGTCGAGAAGGAACGGGGACAGGTGCACATGGGTTATACTCAGGGGGAGGGTAGTGGAAACAAGTGTGCCGACACAGGGCCAGGGGGCAGCAGTGCACCCTCCACCCACTCAACCCCCCACCCGGGAGGCGGCACCGGCTCAGCCTACCGGACAGGAGGGAACGAGCGCCGTGTAAACAATGAAATTTTTAACCACACCCTGCAAAATACAGTGTACTTAGCAAATGCTGCAGCTTCTGAGAATGTGGGTGGAGCGGGTTTATTACTAAGAGCAGAGACGTTACCGAGAACAAATTCTGGCTTGAATGTCATGTACACTAATACCGACACGTTCCTTGATAAGAGGGAGGAGTTTGAAACACTACTAAGAGTACACCAACCAGATATTGTAGGAGTTGTAGAACTGTTGTACAAGAACAGGAGAATCGACCCAGAGGAATGTGAGTTCAGTATTGCTGGATATGACTCATTTACGAACCTAACTCAAGAATCCTGCAGGAGGGGTGTGGTTATCTACGCTAGGCAAGACCTTAGAGCCAGCCAGGCGAGGGTACAGGGAGAGGATGTCTTTGAAGAGTCCAAGTGGTGTAAAATTAAATTAAAGGGAGGGGACTTACTTATCGTCGGGTGTATCTACAGATCCCCGAACTGTGGCCCACTAAATCAAAGGAACTTAAGAACCTTAATAAACAATGCGGCGATGCTCAACCCCAGCCACCTCCTTATCATGGGGGACTTTAACTATGGCGACATCGACTGGAGAAACGAGTCAACCCCGAATGACTTGAATAATCCTGCTACTCTTTTTGTAGAAACTCTGAGAGATAATTTTCTGTTCCAACATGTGAGAGACCCGACACATTACAGAGGGGAACAAACACCCAAGCCACTTGACCTCATCATAACAAACGAGGAGGGTATGGTGGCCAAACTGGAACACCTTGCCCCAGTTGGCACCAGTCACCATACAGTGTTGTCATTCAGATTTAACTGTTACCTAGTTCAAGATAAGGCCAGGCCAAGGTGCAAATATTACAAGGGAAATTACAATGGGATGAGGGAAGAGATGAGGGGTATCAACTGGCCTGACTTATTAAGGTACAAGAACGCAGACACTACGCTGAATATCATAACTAGTAAAATGACCCATTTGATCGATAAATATATACCCAAGACCAAACCCAGTGCTTCTAGGAATACGAGGGGATCCCTACACATGAACCATGCGGCGGTCGACAAAATTAAGAAGAAAACCCAGAAATTCAAGACGTGGGTTGGGTCAAACGATGAGCAGGACAGGAGGATGTATGCAAGAGCCAGAAACCAAGCAAAGATAGAGTGTAGGAGGGCTGAAAAGGAGTTCCAAAGGCTGGTTGCACGCGAGGTCAAGTCAAACCCAAAGGCGTTTTACCGCTATGCAAAGTCGAAATTGAAAACGCGAGTAGGAGTATCAGACCTGAGGCTTGAAGATGGTAGTTACGCAGATTCTGACCAGGATAAAGCTGAGGCATTGAACAGCTTCTTTTCCTCAGTGTTCACAAGAGAGGATGCAACTAACCTTCCTGCGTTTGAGGACAGACGGTTCGACACAGCACTGACCCACATTGTGTTCACAGAAGAGGGTATTAGAAATAAACTGTCCAGGCTAAAGGTCCATAAGAGTCCTGGACCTGACATGGTGCATCCTAGAGTGCTAAGGGAGCTGTGCAACGAGCTTGCAGAGCCCCTGAAGATTCTGTTTTGTAAATGCCTGGATGAACAAATGGTCCCCAGTGAATGGAAAGTGGCTTATGTGAGTCCTATCTTCAAGAAGGGCGATAGGCACTCCACGAACAACTATAGACCGGTGAGCCTGACCAGCATAATATGTAAAGTACTTGAGAGTATTATCAGAGATGCAGCGATGGAACATCTACTACGAAACAACCTTGTAAAAGATTGCCAACACGGTTTTATGCCGGGGCGCTCTTGCTTGACACAATTGCTCAAGGTATTGGATATTTGGACCCATATTCTAGAACGGGGTGGTAATATCGACAATATTTACCTAGATTTTGCCAAGGCTTTCGACAGTGTACCCCACGAAAGGCTGAAAATCAAACTGGAAGGGTACGGAATTCGGGGAAATGTCCTAGCGTGGATAGAAGACTTTCTACATGACCGCAAGCAATGTGTGGTGATTAATGGCACGAAATCGTCATCTGTACCTGTAACAAGTGGGGTACCGCAGGGTAGTGTATTGGGCCCGCTGTTGTTTGTTTGTTTCATAAATGATATGCCTGACGTTGTACACTCCTCCATACAAATGTTTGCCGATGACGCCAAGTTATTTCGGGAAATTAAGAACCAAGCGGACTGTGAAGAGCTGCAGAAGGACCTCTGTGGGCTCCAGGAATGGTCGAAGGAATGGCTGCTGAGATTCAATGTCACGAAGTGTAAGAGGATGCACCTGGGGCGTACCAACGGTAAGGAGGCGTACCATATGTCCCAACGGGATGAAGAAAATGTACTAGTTGAGACTGTGTGTGAGAAGGACCTAGGTGTGTATGTTGACAATGAGCTGAAGTTCTCGGGCCATTGTGAGAAGAAGGTAAATCAGGCAAATAAATTATTGGGTCTTATAAGAAGGTCGTTCAGATATCTAGACGGTCCGTCCCTCGTGACGATCTTCAGGAGTGAAGTGCTTCCCCATCTGGAGTACTGTCACCCCATCTGGTCCCCGAGATATGCTAGGGACTGTCAGTTGGTTGAAAATGTTCAAAGGAGGGCCACCAAGCTGGTGCCTGCACTTCGGCATCTCAGCTACCCTGCGAGATTGGAGCGCCTGAACTTGCCTAGCTTATACTACAGACGGGCAAGGGGGGACCTAGTTGAGGTTTATAAGCATCTCAGGGGGCACTACTCAGTTGAGTGTCCTTACTTGGAGCTGGCGGACGCTCGCCCCACAAGGGGTCACAGCTCAAGATTGAAGAAGCCGCAAGTCCGGAAAACCGTGAGGGCAAACTTTTTCGGAGTGAGGGTTGTAAACTCTTGGAACAATCTACCAGAAAGTGTTGTGACGGCACCGAGTGTGAGCTCTTTCAAGAGAAGACTTGACCAACACTGGAGCGGGTTCAGGTACATTCAGGAGCCGGTGCATGCCCAGTATTTGCCAACAGTGCGTGACAGAGACGTGACCGATCGCCCGGGCGGCTAGCGAGCCGACCTTTTGGTGAAGAATATAAAGGAAAAGAGTCGTGACCGATCGCCCAAGCGGCTAACAAGCCGATCAGTGGCGAAGAGGATAAAAGTAAAAGTAAAAAGAATATGGGTGCTGCTGTCGGGTCTTCTGCATAACGCACAAGAGCTTTGCTCAGGGGATGGTTTTGTTGGCTACCCTTAGTTAGAAAGGCTTACTGTATATTTTTTTTGTATACCTATACCTTCTATATACTGCACATTGTTTGTATACCTGCACTGTCTATTCACGTTGTTTATATACCTCCACACACTATATACAGTCCCCCTCACTAGTACGTTTACAGGGGCTCGTCATATAAACATCCCACAAATCATTGTCATTATTTGTTTTAATATTGTTTTACTTTGATTTCATAGGATGTTTACTATTGTGAGTTTCCTTCTGTCAAATGTAAACAAACACAGCGCTGCCGCCGCCACTAAACAAAACCTGGCGAGCCCCTATAGATACACTAGTGAAGGGGACTGTACAGTAGCTAAAGCAACTATCTGTGCAGGTGGGGGTCGATATGCTCCGAAATTTTACGTGTGAATAGTGACAGCCCTCATATACCAAAATTTATCGTCCATGGTCTCATATTGTTTCCCACAAAGTATGCACAGATAGTTGTTTTAGCTACTGTACATTGTTGTGCACCTATATTGTCTATGTACAAAATAGTCCAGCACTGTTTATGCATATTGTATACCTACCTGCACTGTTTGTGTACATTGTATGCTTGCACTGTTTGTATACTACACAGTGTTTGTTTACCTGCTCTATCTACTGTATATATGTACACTCCCCCCCAAAAGTATCGGCCCCTTTTCTCATCGATACACTGTGTCACAAAAGACGAATATTTCCGATCACTAATTGTGATTCCTGCATTACATTGGTAGGCCAGCCTTCCGAGTATCTGTGAGGTTGCTAGTTATTATTTCTGGCATTTGTTGTAATTATGGTGAATCACTGTGCTCCATCTTTAGTAGAATAATATAATGATATTAATGTAGCTATGATACTGCCTCGTGTTGTCTGTGTTGTTTCCATAGTGACTGTCAATCCCATGGGAGGACTTGACGACATTGTCTCGTAGTGTTCCGTTGCCAGCACGACTCATGAGATGATACGTTATATTCATAATTGTTATCTCATTAATTGAGGTAAAAATAATATTGAAATGCAGTAAATCATGATATCATTGTAATTGGATATGGCATCATAATACACATGTTATTACTGTATTTGCAAATGAATATAATAACGGATCATAGAGTTTCATATTTCGTCCGAAGCGATTCCATTGTAACCTCGTTTCATGAAAACATATTAACGTTGTATTCCTATTTGGCAACCCATCCCCTGGGGCTGAAATACTATCTAAGGTTCATGAACCAACGGGGTTACTCATGACGTTATTAGTTTTGTATATGGTATCACAATTCATCCTATTTCATTACACAATGTAGAGAATATGTGGTATACTGTAGATATCATAGTGATTATCAGGTGCAAGAAGAAAGAACGAAATTTGCAACTCACAATCTGAAATTAGCAACCGAACCGAGACTGTGGTGTACGTGTTACTGTGTTTATTTCCAAATACATCGGGGCCAGGGGGGGGTCTGATACCTTTGGGAGGGTGAGTGTATAAATTGTGTACTAACGCTGTTTATGTAAATGTTGTGTACCTGCATTATGTACTTTGTGTACCAGCACGGTCTATGTACAGTACGTGGTGAATTAATGGGAATTTATATGACGATTTTACTACATATCTATCTATCTACCTAAGTCTTATACAGAGACCCTGCCTATTCTTAACGAAGGTCCAATCTTTGTTTTCAGGATTAAAAAGAAACAAACTCAGTAATCAGTAAACAAATATATATTTTGGTCTTATGAACATAAGTCGACTCGTGTAGTCTCAGTCTCATAGCTGTCAAGTAAAGTCGTTAGTGGCAGTGTTGTTAATGCTGTAGCCTGTAGTGTTGTTAATGCTGTAGCCTGCAGTGTTGTTAATGCTGTAGCTTGCAGTGTTGTTAATGCTGTAGCTTGCAGTGTTGTTAATGCTGTAGCCTGCAGTGTTGTTAATGCTGTAGCCTGCAGTGTCGTTAATGCTGTAGCTTGCAGTGTTGTTAATGCTGTAGCCTGTAGTGTTGTTAATGCTGTAGCCTGCAGTGTTGTTAATGCTGTAGCCTGTAGTGTTGTTAATGCTGTAGCCTGTAGTGTTGTTAATGCTGTAGCCTGCAGTGTTGTTAATGCTGTAGCTTGCAGTGTTGTTAATGCTGTAGCCTGCAGTGTTGTTAATGCTGTAGCCTGCAGTGTTGTTAATGCTGTAGCCTGTAGTGTTGTTAATGCTGTAGCCTGTAGTGTTGTTAATGCTGTAGCCTGCAGTGTTGTTAATGCTGTAACCTGCTGTAATGCCCTGTAGTGTTGTTAATGCTGTAGCCTGTAGTGTTGTTAATGCTGTAGCCTGCAGTGTTGTTAATGCTGTAACCTGCAGTGCTGTTAATTGTTAATGCTGTAGCCTGCAGTGTGTTAATTAATGCTGTAGCCTGCAGTGTTGTTAATGCTGTAGCCTGCAGTGTTGTTAATGCTGTAGCCTGCTGTACCTGTGTTGTTAATGCCGTAACTTGCAGCCCTGCAGTGTTGTTAATGCTGTAGCCTGCAGTGTTAATGTGCAGCTTGCAGTGTTGTTAGCCTGTAGTGTTGTGTAATGCCTGCAGTGTTGTTAATGATGTAGCCTGCAGCCTGCAGTGTTGTTAATGCTGAAGCTGTAGCCTGCAGTGTTGTTAATGCTGTAGCCAGTGCAGTGTTGTTAATGATGTAGCCTGTAGTGTAGCCTGTTAATGCTGTAGCCTGTAATGATGTAGCCTTGTTGTTAATGCTGTAGCCTGCAGCCTGCAGTGCTGCTAATGCTGTAGCCCGCAGTGCTGTAACTTGCAGTGTTGCGTTAATGCTGTAGCCTGCATGATGCTGTAGCCTGCAGCCTGCAGTGTTGTTAATGCTGTAGCCTGCAGCCTGCAGTGTTGTTAATGCTGAAGCCTGCGTCGTGCAGTGTTGTTGTTAATGCTGTAGCTTGCAGTGTTGTTAATGATGTAGCCTGCAGTGTTGTTAATGCTGTAGCTTGCAGTGTTGTTAATGATGTAGCCTGCAGTGTTGTTAATGATGTAGCCTGCAGTGTTGTAATGTGCAGCACGCTGAAGCCTGTTAATGCTGTGCTGTAGCCTGCAGTGTTGTTAATGCTGTAGCTTGCGTAAAATGATGTAGCCCGTAGGTGTTGTTAATGCTGTAGCCTGCAGTGTTGTTAATGCTGTAGCCTGCAGTGTTGTTAATGCTGTAGCCTGCAGTGTTGTTAATGCTGTAGCCTGCAGTGTTGTTAATGCTGTAGCCTGCAGTGTTGTTAATGTTGTAGCCTGCAGTGTTGTTAATGCTGTAGCCTGCAGTGTTGTTAATGCTGTAGCCTGCAGTGTTGTTAATGTTGTAGCCTGCAGTGTTGTTAATGCTGTAGCGTGCCTAACATTTTTTAATACTGTAATATACAAGACTTTAGTTAAACTCCTGGTGGTTGTGTTACTCACCAACAAACTAACTCTTTGGTGGTAAGAAATAAAATAGTATGGCTTCTGTGATGGTGTGAGAGGATTTTATGTCCATATATATAATATCCTCTCGTGTGTGTATTGAGGACAGCTACACTACATTATCTTATTATTATAATACGTCGTCGTTAGCCTGTTTGATCCTCAACATAATTCACCGTAAGGCTATTTCATGTGTTTAATTTTCAAATTATTATGCAATAAAATTTATGATTTATAAGTCATGTTTTATTGAAATATCTTTGTTCAGGCAATCCAGGAAATTAAAACATCACTCACTCCTAGTAAGACGGGAGGGACCATGAAGTATTAGACAGATTTTTGTCTGCTCCAGCAGAAATCAAACATAGTTTAGTGGACGTTTGATTTGTAATACTGTACAAAGTGCACGGACTGAGAGGAGGCAGAGGCGTATTTTCCGTGAACCTAAAGGTAAGATTTGCCAATTATTTTGTGAAAAATCTTCATATTAATTATAATTTTACAATAATTTAGCTTTGGGTTATTTGCTGCAAGTCTCCTTTCAGGCCATGCGTTTTAGACCAAAAAATATATTTTTTAAGAAAAAATAAGCTGATTTTTTCAGGATCGATTCCCAGTAGAGTCTATAGCAACAGACAATGTCTCCCAGAAATCCTCTTTGTACTTAACTTAGAATTCAAGATGGCGTCCAAGATGGCTGGTATACAGTAAATTGGCACTATCTCAAGAACCAGATGAGATAGAGGTATGGTGTTGATGCCAAGGTAACGATTTTCAACCAAGCTTTATTCACTGGATACTAAAAAAAAAGATGTATAATATCAGCATTGTCTTTACAGTAGATTGATCGCTCTTACTGGAGAAGCGATGGCTACTAAGACGACACTGCTACTATTGCTTACATAATTCGTAAGTTCAACTCATGAAGTATTCAGTTAAATTAATTAGAAGCGGAAATGATACACATAGTAAACCAAGCATGTTCCAGTGCATGCAGAGCGGAGTAGAGAACAGTTAAGTTCAAGTTTTCTGCAGCAACATGCCACCCGACAATAATATTGGTCTCACAACCACGAGATCATGTAGGAAGACTGTCAGGTGTAGGTGCTTGTCCCGTTGGATATTTTACTTTTTTGTATTCTTTGAGTCTAAAGAACGACCAGGAGAGTGTCCTTATTACCACCATACAGGTACAATGAAAGACAAAAGTCGCGTCGTGAAATTTCGTGAAAACTTATGCCGAAGAGCTAAACTTTTGGTGCGCTCTGCCTTGTGGTAGGGGGCTCTCATAATGTTTCACGAGCTATATTTAATCTTCGGACAAAACCGCGACACGACTTTTGTCTCTGATTGTACATCATCCTTGCTACTTACACCAGAATGGAACATGCTCAGGTAGCGATGGGCGTCCTGCGTCATGAAGTTCATGAATCATTATCATCACAGTTTTCTTCCCTTTACAGTATAGCAGAGAAATTTTTAGTACACTGACGCAGAACGAGTGACGATATCCCATGTGCAAGTGATTTCCAATAGACTCCTACTTAACTGACCAGCATGACCAGTGTATGTGCCTATCATTATTTTTTTTACGTTTTATAATAATATGACCCAAAGCTTATCATTTCACTGTCACATTTCTTATGTTGCTTATAAGGTACAGTACTATTTATAAATGGTGTTATTTTCAATTGTCTTTTTACAACATTGAAGTTAATAAGTCTTTGAGCAGGCATTCATTTATTTCAATCTCTCTCTCTTGTACTTTTCTTCTGAAAGAAGCTTCATTATTATTGTCACAAAATCAATAATTTTACCTCCTGTGACTTACTGCTAATAAATAACATGTAATTCCTAAAGCTGTCCCATTTAAAACAATTCAAAAGAGTTATTGGTTGCCTAAAGAGACTTATCTAAGAATGCTTTCAAACATTTTGTTTTATTCCCCCAATTTTTGTCTTTAAATACCAGTAAAATAACAATAATATTAATAATAATAATATGCTGTTCAAAATTTCCACGGGCTAGCGAGGGAACGTGTCTACTGAGTCGAGAATGGGGTATTTGGTTAAGGTGGGGGAAATCGTCCAATCAGTCTGTTGAAGAGGTTGAATAGACTTATCAGGTACACAAGATATTATTATCACTCATACTGGAACAAGAAGACTAGTACTATATATAGGGTGCAGTAGCTAATATTTTTCATATTTCAAAATAACTGTTCCCCCAAGATATATGGATTTCAACCCCTTGAAATTATTACTAGCGTATACTAAGGGTCGGGAGTCGTGAATGGGGAGTTGATTTGCATTTACTAACTTATGAAAATGCGAAATTCGTGAATCCCAAAACCGACTGTACAGTATATGCAATCTCATTGAAATAAAAAGAGTAATAATTCTAGATAACAGCATTAAGCAGAGTACATTTTATATTTGTTAATCACAGAAGACATGCATATCATTCTGATGACAAGCTATATTGCCTGTAATAATTTTGATATTTCATAGTACAATGATTCTCTTGGCCAAAAAGTATTTTATTCTGGGTAGCATCATTATTATTAAGTATAACAATCATTATCATTAGTAGTGGTAGTAGTATTTTTTTAGAATGTATACAAAGATAATTACTTTACACAACAGTCATTCGTTGTTGACGCTGTGTCTGGCGCCGCCGTGCCCGGGATAATGAAGGCTGGTCAACAATGTCTCACTTGACGTTTTTTAAAGGTCAGTGAGTAATTAACATTTGTGTATCTCCAAACCTCGGTAGTATTTCGAAATGAGTACAGTACTTTACTCCGATTCTCTGGGTGAGACAAAATTTCTGTATATTTACTCATTTAAGGAATCTGAAAATGTAAAACTCTACCGTAAACACAAAGTAGCGGATAATGCATCATTAATAACCTTAAGTACATAACAACCAATAACTTAGTTGTCGAACATTAGTGTGATATCTAAGTCAACCTCAGGAACACAGTCGACGTCTGCTGATACATGCATCATCATTTGGCTGCAGTAAAACTTGTCTAGTTTTCACTTCTTTATTTTTCGTTACTTTGGTAAAAATCGTTCCTCCACATACATCGAGAAAGGTTAGAAGGTTAATTGTTCACTGACCTTCTAAACAAGATTGTTGATTGACGTGAATCTAGGAAAAGGAGCGAGTGTGTGGTGGTAGGTGGGCTCAGTGCTTCCCCTGCCTCCGAGGATCCTGCATTCACACGGGTGAGATACGTCCCACTCTTCTCACAACTGATATCTTTATCACTATAACATAGTGAAAATTAGGCTAAAGTAAAGAAGTTACTCACAGAACGAGAAAAAAAACGACCACAATGTGGTGTGAACGTTTTCAAAATAAATATATACATAATGATGGACGTCCTTGAGGGCTGATCTCATCACATTAGATACGGTTTCGTTAGATTAGGTTAGGTTAGGTTGTTAGATTAGATTTGATTTGGTAATATTAGGTTATGTTAGGTATGGTCAGGGGAATTTCGAAACCGTCCAAAACGCTTTGTAGCTGTTGGGAAAAACCCACGACGCAAAATTTCGTTTTCTGGTTATTCTGAAAACGACCACAACGCGTCGTGCTCATTGTTTCGTTCAGTGAGCGAATTTGTTCTTCGAGCCTCGCATATAAATCTGAACTTATCTCCATCATTAACGATATACCTGCACTTTCATGCCCCATTCTCTTTCTCCCTCAGGTGTTATCACAATTTCTTGTCGAAGGTGCTGGTAGGGAAACGTCATGACTTTTAAAAATGACACAGCTCCCTGCCTCAAGCTGGGTGTCGCCTCAGTGAGTATGTGTATGAATATATGTGTATTTGTACATGCATCATAAGTTGGTGATCTTATAATATTTCATGTGTACAGTGAACGTATGATGGTAACCACTCTTCTGGTACAGTGGTTCCCCTTCACTCTCATCTCTGTGACGGGGCCGCCCTACAAGGTGACGGGTGCCATCGCTCAGGTTATGGAAATAGTCGCCCATAAACTTAACTTCTGGTGAGATAATATCAACTGCTTTCTTACTGTGCTCTTGTTTTTCTTGTTCTTATTATATTTGGAAGCTGTTTTTCTCTGATATTGTTCTTGATCTTGTCCTTGTGTTATGAAGTCGTTTTACTGTGTTGTTATTAGTGTTGTTTGTTATTTTGTTGTTGTTATTTTTATGAAGTTCCCCTCTTGTGTTCTGATTGTTACTGTTCTTATTGTTATGTTATTGAGTTGTCTCGATGTGTGATTAATGTTGTGTTATGAAGCTTTTTCATTGCGTTCTTGTTAAAGGTATTATTTTGTTATAACTTGTCTTTTGTGTTATTGTTGTTGATTTTGTTGTTCTTATTATGAAGCTTTCTTATTGTGTTGTTATTTTTGTTGTTCTTCATCCTAATCTTATCTTAGGAAGTTGTCTTATTGTTTGTTGTTGTAATTACTGTATTTAATAGTCCAGCGTCGGTAGGCACCTGCATGAGTTGGCCGGACGCTCACTTTTGTACCATAAGTCACTGTTACTGTACACCGCCATCACTCTCTCCCTCTCAAGTCAGGTACTCAGTGGTTACTCCGTGTGTTTGTCTCGTTGTCCGAGCGGGTTGGACACAGTAGTAACCAAATATTTGATTTGATTTTAGTAATTAACTCATATTTTGATAGCGGCATAACAGGGGGCAGTGTACGCACATTGATCTTAGAACAAATTAATATTATTACTGTATATTTCTATGGCAGTATAGAGTACGTGGTACCTGAGGACAAGCTGTTTGGCTCGCAGCTCCCCAACTCCTCCTGGACGGGTCTGATGGGGCAGCTCACTCGCGGGGTAAGTTTTTAACACTCTTAGTGCTTCCTTTGTTAAATTTACTCCTTAATTAAGGATGCAAATCACATAAAGTTAAATCACCCTCAAGAGAGGGGAAAACTTTTCTTAATATACCAAAGTAATTGTCGAGATTAAGAAAGATCCGCTAAAACTTTGTGTTGCAGCTGGTAAAATCTTGTGTCATGATTCATGGAGCGGTCGATGTTCTTATCCCTCAGGGCGTGAACTGTAAGAGTAATGGTTAACTGTGAAAGTAATGGTTATGTTCCTATGTTCCTAAACTTAAAGACTTAAGCTGAATTACAATATCAGCCTCCTTTCAAGACAAAAGATTATGTGCAGAAGGTGTATTCATAGTTGTTGTAAGTCTTGATGTTTACGATACTCCCCTGCAGGAGGTGGACATGACGGGCGTGGTAATGTCTCTGAGTGATGAGAGGAACCAGGCCATAGACTTCAGCGTGCCACTCTACATGGACGCCAGCAAGCTCGCATATAAGAGACCGGTCCTGGAGTCCGATATCACCGGATTTGTCAAACCTTACACTAACAGGGTACGGAGAGGCAGAAAGGCTCAACTTATTACAATTAAATGACCGATATTTAAAAAAGAGAAGATTCATTAAAACCACAAATCTTGTCACTTATAACAACGATATTCTCTACACATGAGAGAATGCAGAGACAAGTGAAAGGGAAAGAAAGAAAATGAGGCACATTCAAGGAGACATAAAATTACAATGAGAGACAAAGTAAGCGAGAGGGAGAGAGAGAGAGAGAGAGAGAGAGAGAGAGAGAGAGAGATCACTAATCACAAGTGTCACGCAGATGTGGATGTTGTTGGTGCTGACGGTGGTGGGGGTCCTGGTCGCCACCTTCACCCTCATACAGTGTCGACACCGCCTCCTGTCCCGCCCCAGGTAGGTACTAGGTAACCCAGGTAGGTACTAGGTCCCCCAGGTAGGTACTAGGTCATGTGTGTGTATATTTAAGTTACCATTATCATACAACTTGGTGTTACAGAAGTCGCAGCATTAACGAGAGCGACAGCTGGGGTGTATTGGCGGGAGAAATACGACACAGTGACAACACAGTGACCAACGCCTGGTGGACCTCCAACGTGTGGATCCTAACAACACTCTTGGCTCAGGGTGAATCATTGCTATCTATTGTTCCTTTACTGTCTACTTTGTGCTGTTCCCATGCTGCCTTGTGCTAGTTTCCATATCCTGTACTGTTTCCATACTTTCTTGTGCTGTTTCCATACTTTCTTGAGCTGTTTCCATGCTTTCTTATCCCATTTCCATTTTATGGGTGTTCACTCCTCCACAGCACTACCTCGGTGGCCCCAGGGAGACTCACTGCGGGTCATGACGGGGGTCTGGTTGTTGATGGCCTTTATCGTGGGCACCGTTTACCGCTCTAACCTGAAGGCCATGTTGATCCTGCCCAGGCTTAAACTGCCCTTCAACAACCTGGAGGAGCTCGTTGATACCGACATACCCTGCTTCGTCAACCTGGGCACTGCTCTTTATCGTTATGTAGAGGTAATACACTACCCTCCACCATTATGTAGAGGAAATACACTACCCTCCACGATTATGTAGAGGTAATACACTACCCTCCACCATTATGTAGAGGTAATACACTACCCTCCACCATTATGTAGAGGTAATACACTACCCTCCACCATTATGTAGAGGTAATACACTACCCTCCACCATTATGTAGAGGTAATACACTACCCTCCACCATTATGTAGAGGTAATACACTACCCTCCACCATTATGTAGAGGTAATACACTACCCTCCACCATTATGTAGAGGTGATACACTACCCTCCACGATTATATAGAGGTAATACACTACCCTCCACCATTATGTAGAGTAATACACTACCTCCACCATTATGTAGAGGTGATACACTACCCTCCACCATTATGTAGAGGTGATACACTACCTCCACCATTATGTAGAGGTGATACACTACCCTCCACCATTATGTAGAGGTGATACACTACCTCCACCATTATGTAGATGTAATACACTACCCTCCACCATTATGTAGAGGTGATACACTACCCTCCACCATTATGTAGAGGTGATACACTACCCTCCACCATTATGTGGAGGTGATACACTACCCTCCACCATTATGGAGGTGATACACTACCTCCACCATTATGTAGAGGTGAGATATTAACCATCCACCATTATGTAGAGGTGATACACTACCTCCACCATTATGTGGAGGTGATACACTACCTCCACCATTATGTGGAGGTGATACCTACCTCCACCATTATGTAGAGGTGAGATATTAACCATCCACCATTATGTAGAGGTGATACACTACCTCCACCATTATGTAGAGGTGATACACTTCCTCCACCATTATGTGGAGGTAATACACTACCCTCCACCATTATGTAGAGGTGAGATATTAACCATCCACCATTATGTAGAGGTGAGATACTACCCTCCACCATTATGTAGAGGTGATACACTACCCTCCACCATTATGTAGAGGTGATACACTACCCTCCACCATTATGTGGAGGTGATACATTACCCTCCACCATTATGTAGAGGTGGTACACTACCCTCCACCATTATGTAGAGGTGATACACTTCCCTCCACCATTATGTGGAGGTGATACACTACCCTCCACCATTATGTAGAGGTGATACACTACCCTCCACCATTATGTAGAGGTGATACACTACCCTCCACCATTATGTAGAGGTGATACACTACCCTCCACCATTATGTAGAGGTGATACACTACCTCCACCATTATGTAGAGGTGATACACTACCCTCCACCATTATGTAGAGGTGATACACTACCCTCCACCATTATGTAGAGGTGATACACTACCCTCCACCATTATGTAGAGGTGATACACTACCCTCCACCATTGTGTAGAGGTGATACACTACCCTCCACCATTATGTAGAGGTGATACACTACCCTCCACCATTATGTAGAGGTGATACACTACCCTCCACCATTATGTAGAGGTGATACACTACCCTCCACCATTATGTAGAGGTGATACACTACTCTCCACCATTATGTAGAGGTGATACACTACTCTCCACCATTATGTAGAGGTGATACACTACCCTCCACCATTATGTAGAGGTGATACACTACCCTCCACCATTATGTAGAGGTGATACACTACCCTCCACCATTATGTAGAGGTGAGATACTACCCTCCACCATTATTTAGAGGTGATACACTACCCTCCACCATTATGTAGAGGTGAGACACTACCCTCCACCATTATTTAGAGGTTAGACGTTACATGAAATCAATCGTAGTAAAGAATATTATGGTGAATATCACCATCTTTTTGTTGAGCTAAAAAGAGACCGAAGAAGGGTTTGTTTTCTTATCATTACAATACACAGGCGATCAAAACCCCTACTCCCAACTAAACACCGTCTCAACAACACGTGTGGGCAGGCGAGAAAAAAATGTTTTGTTCATTCTGGCAAACTTGTCAGGGCGGGCAACCAGCGCCGACGGGCTTCAACAGGCTTCTACTGTGTGCTGCCATTCTTGATAGCATATTCGCATTCATGAAGCTTGTCAACGCCAGTAATACGCTGCACGTGGAGTGAAGAGAAAGAGATGCACTCTAGCTTAGGGTAAGAATACAAAGAAAGTAGGTCACCCGCTTGCAGATTACCGGCGCTGACAAGTTTACCGGAAAAAACAAAAATTCTTTTCTTGCCTTCCTGCACGGGTGGACTTGTTCAGGATTGAAGAAAACGTCATTAAATAGACTTATGATGATTATGCACTAAAAATGCTTAAGTATTACGCATATATGCAGCTAAAATAGAGGAAATGTGAATGTAGAGGTACTCTTAAAAATAATTAAAATTGCTTGGTGATTATAACTAAATTCAGAATATCCCATGGCTACACATGTATTTTATTATATTTAGATTAAAGACTTCAGGTGCCATATCTATGAAAATGACGTTAGTATGGCAACAATCTAAATGATCACTGTATAAACTCTTTGTCTCTATTATTATCACCTTAATCGTTCCTGGTACAGACAGCAAAGCCGGGGTCGACGCTGTACAAGTTAAAGCGTCAGGCGGTGATTCACACTAACCTGCCTCTGGCCGTCAAGAACCTGTTGGTGGGCACCGAAGCGGCCTTCTCCACCGAAAACGGAATTCTCTTCATCATCCACTCTCATTTTGCTCAGGTAATGAACAAATGTTTGAATGAATAAATACGTACATGAATCGAGTTAGAACTGTTTGATTATATAAACTTGGTACATTTTAACTTAATAAATTATACCATAATTAGGTTGAACTAGGTTAGGATAGTCTATGTATTAAGTTATTCATTTAATATATACAGTATTATAATATCTTAATGATCGTATATGGCCAGTCAGAAGTTTCGAAAAAGTTAAATATATAAAGTATAAGTTATCGCTAATCGGCAGTTATCACTATTTACTCTCGAGTTTTATGTCTCATAGTTTTTTTTTAATGTTGTTGGTCTTGTCAATAGTGGAATTACTAACCTTGAATCAATTATATATGTACCACTTAATAAATCAATTATATATGTACCACTTAATAAATCAATTATATATGTACCACTTAATAAATCACTAATAGGTATAGGATGTAAATTTATACTAATCTAACCTAAATTTTGATAGAAGTCGTGTTCACATACCAAATAGTGATATGGGGAATAGAGAAATAATAATGTCCATCTGCAGAAAGAAAAAATAATTTCTTGTATTTTATAATTGTTGATACTAAAGATCTTTCCAGAGCTTCAGTCAAAAGTCGTAAGCCTTCGGGCAATAGATATGATCCATAAATGTCTCATTTTTTCTTGGTGGTATTGGTGACATGAACTACGACATTAATGAAGACGAAGACGTGCCCTTTATACTTGACGGACGAGACTTTCTATACCACCAGTGTCAGCCTCGCTTTCCCCAAGGGTTCCAACCTCCGCCAAAAGATAGACCCAATGTAAGAATATCCTCACCATGTAATATGCATCAATAACATTTTCTTCTGAATAACTAAGAAGCAGAATAACACTGCATCCCCCTCAACCTAATGAATAATAATTACAAGAAGTAAAATGTTAATATTTCTTCTTTGTTAACGTTCATCAATATCCTTCAAAAATTCCTTCAGTATTCTTAACACATAATGTTCAATATATATATATATATATATATATATATATATATATATATATATATATATATATATATATATATATATATATATATATATATATATATATATATATATATATATATATATGTATGTATGTACCGACAGTATTGTCCTTTGCCATCTGGTCTAATATTACTCTACTGTTATTCCATGCTCTCTTACCACAACAGTGTTCAGAACCTAAACCAATTCGGGATCTTGAATCGCCTGTTAATGAACGGTGTTCGTCACGCCCGAGAGTGTCTCAAGTCAGGATCCTCCGCTAAACAGAACAACAGCCTCCGACCCCTCGAACTTGGAGACTTCTATGGTGTTTTCTCTGTTTATGCAGGAGGTGAGGATAGAAGTGTCACTCGATGTCTATGGCGGTGAGGTACCGAAATCTATAATTATAATCCCGAACATTTTCACGAAATACTTATGGTATACGCACGCTACCCTGTCCGTGTTCGTGTCCTTAGCCAATATCTAATTTGAATGTAAAAATTCCGACGCCTCAAAGCATACCAACATTCAACGATTAATATGTCGCCTTAACGTACACACACAAAGATGATGATTCTACTATTCACTCTTCTCATTTTTCCCTTCCCCCTGACTCTCAAACTAGATCTATTCCGAGAGCTGATATTGTTGATGTAGCATCTCCGAGTGGGAAGGGAGAAATTTGCTCTGCCTTCTTTTGTGTTTCCATATTCATACAATCTGTCTCACTTCAAAAAGTTGGTTTTCCAGCATATTCTTGGTGTAGATTAATATGGTCTTTTTGTCTTCTATTTTTTTTTACTCCTATTTTTTCCCCCCCTAGGCCCCTTGTGAGTCGATGACCGGTGCCCAGGTGAGCTGTTCCCCGTAAAAAAAATAATAATTAATAAATAAATAAATAAAAATCCATATAAAGTAGCGAGCGTCGATTGGCTTATTTTGGAAAATATGAGCAAATCAGCAAGTAGACACAGTACATGACACAAGAACTACAGTCATATGAAATGTTTCGTCCATATATGTGTTGTGTTCGATAAAGGCAGGATTCTCAGAAGCTGCAAATAGAACTTGCTGAATGTATTGGATGACGTTGTTGTGAACTGGTGTACAGTACATAAGAATGGAGGAAACTGCAGCGGGCCTATTGGCCCATACTGGGCAGTCCCATTTACACCCAACCCCTATTGTTCATATAAGCATCCAACCTATGTTTGAATCTATCCAGCGTATTCGAGTTAATGATGATATTTGGTAACTTGTTCCACTCATCCACTATTCTATTTCCAAACCAGTGTTTACCTATTTCGCGCCTAAATCTAAATTTGTCTAATTTAAAACCATTGTTACGAGTTCGCTCCTGGTTGGATAGTTTGAGTACCTTTGTGATGTCCCCTTTGTTTAGCCTTGTAATGTCCCCTTTGCTATTGCAAATGTTAAATTTGATTTGTCATGTACTTTTTCGCATTTTGTTGCTTCACAAATCAGGTGCCATATGCTCGTCTGTGTACTTAATATGTGCACCGCTAGTGGCCCGAAGCATATCTAACCGATAGAGAACTAGAATTTGGGGACTTCACGCTTAAGATAATCTACAATAACTATACAACTTAGAATCTTGGGGTAGACTTATCCTGCTATCATATGATGGTACAAGTTACTTTAAACATCGGATACCTCCCCGATAACTGGCCAAATATCCAGTATCTGTTTTTATTATAGGCTGGATATCAAATATCCAGCTATCTGGATATTAATTTTTCTCCTTGACGGAGTAGGGTATATTTTATTTTTCTTCGACAGTAAGGATGTCAGTCTTCAATTCACACAATAGGGTTGTTAGGGTAACCAAAAAAAAAAACTGACACATTACAATCCCTCAAGAGACGTGGGGTAACACTAGATCCCGAAACATATTAGCAAACAAGGCGATGAACTTGTTGATAGGGCAGTTCATGTCACAGCAAAACTATAGAGACTCAGCATGCCGATCCCGTGTAGTCTCTAGTAAACCAAGGGAACTGTACTACAAACAAAATCACAACTGATACGGAATAAATCACAGCCCCACTAGCAGACGTCACCAATGCCTGGATGGTCTCGAAAAGCCACCCATTACGAACCAATGAAGAGTCGTCTACATCATCTCTGACTCGGATATGCCTGCAAGTGGGAGATGAGCATAGATGTAAGCACTGAAGAACGCAGGTATATTGTAGAGCACGAACTGACCAACCTCTGGATAACTAGATGTAGTATTTTTTACTTTTACTTTTATCCTCTTCACCACTGATCGGCTAGTTTGCCGCTTGGGCGATTGGTCACGTCTCTGTTATGCACTGTTGGCAAGTACTTGGCATACACTGACTCCTGAATGTACCTGAACCTGCTCCAGTGTTGGTCAAGTCTGGTCTTGAAACAGCTCACGCTCGGTGCCGTCACAACACTCTCTGACAGATTGTTTCACGAGTTCACAATAGCCCTTACAATTTTCTGGACTTGTGGCTTGTCCTCACACTGCTCCCTTCAGAGCTGCCTCAGGTACTTGTACAGGCAACCTTTACGGTCGCATAGGCTTATGTGATATGAAACATCTGCAGCAAACACCAGAAAGAAGTTGTCTAGGCACACTTAAGGTTACATTAAGAAACCTTCAAGTCAGGCAGGGCCAGGCAGGGCCAGGCAGGGCCAGCAGGTATTAACAAACCTTACGACCCGCTGAGGTTTCATCCTTGAACAAACAGAAAATAACACATGGATTTTACTCCTCCACCAGTGACACTCTTATCAAAACCATGACATGAACTGATACCTGCATTGGTGCTGTTTCAAATACAAGAAAGATAAATCTTCCATAATATATTTTATTTACACTAACAGATGAGCCTATGCCTCTTCGTCCGTCCCGCCTCTCCCACAACTAACCCAACCCTTATATATCATAACATTCTCTGTTTTTATCCTAAAGGTCCTTCCTGAAGTAAGTCCTTCCCGAGGGGGTATTTCTTACTTCATTGAGTTAAACAATCTGAATGTCTACTGACCAACCCGACTCTCACACCCTCTCTCACTACATCCTCACTTGCCCTATGACCTCCTCCTATAGGTCCCCAGCCGTTACCAACACCTCTTCCCTCCCAGACCAGATATCCCTCCTCCTAGTCACAGGCCTGGCATTTGACATTATTAGGGACCTGCCACTCTTTGCCATAAACAGATAAAATGTACCGGGAACTTTCCCCCCACACACTCATCATTCTCTCACTTTATGTAACTTGACAGAACCTATGACCCTTCAGGCTTTTACGCCCTTAATGTACGAGTCATAAAGGCAAGTAAGAACTCTTCATACTTCCCTGTTGGGCGCTGTAAACGCTTCTGCGCTTCACCTTGCACAGGATGTAAGGGGGTGCCCAATAAACTAGCCCCCTCGGGGGCAAATCTGAATCTGAATGTCTACTGAGAATAATTGCATACACAAACAACTTTGGTGTTGGAGAACTGATTTTTATAGTGTCTCAGGGATACGGTGGTCATAAGAACGTACGTTTATCTGTAGATTCTTTTCCTAATATTTTCTTTGGTCTATCTTCTCACCTTGTTTTCGTACAGTATTTTGTTTCTTAATGTCCTGCACATGTTCAGATGAGGAAAAACATAACTACTTAATCAGTTATATATGAATCCATTCATTTGATCATCTTTTTACATAATAATCATCTAGCTACTTATTCATTAACTTATTCACTAAAATTCAAAACTCTTTATCTTTGCCTTACAGGAATATTACTGGCAGGTATCGTGTTTCTTCTGGAGCAGATTCGAAGGACCCAGCCTCGTACCGCCTCGCATGAACTTCACTAAGTTCGTCTGAACATCATTGGGTGCTACTATAGCATGCGGTCTACAAGATATTTAGGTTAGGTTAGGTTAGACTAATGATATCTTTGTAGACCGCACGCTAGACAGTAATAGTGCCTATCTTTGACTGTCCTTGCCTACCCTCACTGACTGTCCTTGCCTACCCTCACTGACTGTCCTTGCCTACCCTCACTGACTGTCCTCGTCTAAACCTCACTGCTTCGCCTCAGCTTTACTGATTGTCCTCACCCTAACGTTACTAACACACACAGGGTCACAGCTCAAGATTGAAGAAGCCGCAGTTCCAGAAAACTGTGAGGGCAAACTTTTTCGGGGTGAGAGTTGTGAACTCTTGGAACAATCTACCAGAGAGTGTTGTGACGGCACCGAGTGTGAGCTCTTTCTAGACCAGACTTGACCAACACTGGAGCAGGTTCAGGTACATTCAGGAGCCGGTGCATGCCCAGTACTTGCCAACAGTGCGTAACAGAGACGTGACCGATCACCCAAGCGGCTAACGAGCCGATCAGTGGTGAAGAGGATAAAGGTAAAAGTAAATATGTGCAATGTGTAGAAGGATAATTCTATGTATGCAAACGAAAGTGTTGTGCTCTATGTGTATGTCAAATTACAGTTGTTTTCCAATACATAAATATGTAAAGGAGTAGTACTGTAAAATATTTACAGTATATGAAGAAGGGTAGTATCGTGCAACACATAGATTAACTGTCGAACAACTGTGAGGGTAAGTTACTGAGAAGCGCAAGATATTTCAGTGTAACTCAAATAAACATATCAGATGCAATAGTTACAGAAAAATGGACGCTTTTAACCTACTTAGGTAAGAAAACATCTTGTTCGAAATGGTTAAAAACGTGTGACCACCTTTAAGATTTTCATAAACTAATCCTCAATGCAGCTCCTTCTGCTAAAACTTATGTGAAAGGTGATGCTAAGACGACACACTTTAGGTTTGCGACACCAATCACTCAGGAAGTTATTTGGCTCTTTTTGTAATGGCATTGGAATATAATTTCATTATACTGTATATAGTATTCCGCACCTGTACATACAAATGTTACTATGGGAGTGCCCATAATATTAGTTCATTATCTCACAAAATAGGGTATTTCAAAACAAAGATTAGATGTAATTTGTATTAGATGTTTCTGGCTCCCTGTTGTTGTATAGCTGCGTTGGTCTGTCCGCTCTTTATATGAAGTCCCACGTGGTCAAAGTTTTTAATCTAGTTATATTGAATCTAATTTCTGCCTTCGGAATATTATTAATGGTTCATTAGCTGATCTTAGTTACATATGGGGAGTTGCACAAATTATGGAATCTATTTTTTACAGATATTTTTATCATGATTGCTGAACAAGCGAGCTTTGGTGCCTTTCTGACATTTTATTTCACTTGTCCTTCAATAATGAAGAAAATGCATACATATTTCTAGGAACGTTTCTCGGTTAATTCTTTAAAGTAATTCCACGAATAATCAGATCCATTTTTCACAATGATGGTTCACCCTAAGCCAGACGGTGTTGTTTTCTTGTTGGCTGATGACCACTTCCATGTTACTAACGCCTACCAGCACTTCGCATGTTGCTTAGGTCTTGTGATCCAAGTAGAGTGTTAAGGATTTCTGAGTTGCGCTTGTGTACAGGTTCCCTCACAGCTTGGTGGTGATGTGGTGGTAGGGGCACGATCACCAGAGGCACCAACCCCTCACCTCCCTCTGTCTGCTGCAACGTGGACAACATTTGAATAAGGTGAAGTGCTTTAACTACACAACAAAATGAATATGAGTGTTAGTAAGACTCCCAGTTATACTCTACAATTACTTTGACCTCGTCTCGCCGCCTGCCTGTATGTTTGTCAAAGATTTGGATCCTCAACTCAATGTTGTGGTACAAGTGTGTACGATGAACAGCCCAAAACCTCTACACAAACAGTACAAATTCATTCGTATTATGAGTGACTTATAAAAAAAGAAAAACTTTTAGAAGGGAAACGTGGAGTACTTGTTGTACTCCAGTCAACAGTTTATACACTTTAATGGTAATTTTGGGTTACTTTTTTTTAACTTATCCCAGAAACTTGGCCGCTGTCATCAATTTTCAAGCAGTTTTCAAGGATTATTTAAACTCGTAATATTTTGGTTATTTGAAAGTTGTCAAACCGTTGCCAGTTCTGCTCAATCACTTGTATTAGCTTATTTTTTTTTATATCATAATATTAAACTCTTTGTCACATGTACTGTACAGGTATAATATTTGAATAATGGTAATAATGTAAGTGTACAATTTCACATATAGCTTTTAAATGCAAAACTAAGACCAGATCTTGCACTTAGTTATGGCACTCTTAAGTGGTTTTGATTCCCTGACGAACACGACCAGTCATATTTTCCAAGTAGTTAGACGCACTACAAGGTTGAGTCCTCTTCCCACGCACCTACAGTATATGGTATGTAATTTGAATAACTATGCCGTAACTCGTGTGCAGAAGCGTCTCTCCCTCTCTCACCTCATACTCTTCCCACATAATACATAAAACTGATTTGATTATTGATGTAAGCCTTCTTATCGCTATATAAAGTTCATAGACTTGATATATCGTTTTTTTTTTTAATTCATAATTTCTATCGCTTATCAGTTTACTAGCCGCTCGGGCTATCGACTGAAACAAGCAACATCAACGATATGCTTTGTTACTTCAAATGTTCGACAGTTTGTAATTTAACTGAGAAAAACAAAAGGTGACTCACCTCGTCCACCCAGAGAGGGTGGGAGGCAACCAGCGCCAACATGAGGAGGGCAGCCAGGGACACACCAACACTAACCATTGTGCTCACACCTGCAGGAAAGGACCAACATACTACAGTAATTCATGTGTGATAAGTTAGCATTTTCCAGTGAACACTCAATATCTTGGTACAACTATGTGTGTATATAGTATTTTATCTTGGTACACGATGTGTGTATATAGTGTTTTATCTTGGTACACGATGTGTGTATATAGTGTTTTATCTTGGTACACGATGTGTGTATATAGTGTTTTATCTTGGTGCACGATGTGTGTATATAGTGTTTTATCTTGGTACACGATGTGTGTATATAGTGTTTTATCTTGGTGCACGATGTGTGTATATAGTGTTTTATCTTGGTGCACGATGTGTGTATATAGTGTTTTATCTTGGTGCACGATGTGTGTATATAGTGTTTTATCTTGGTGCACGATGTGTGTATATAGTGTTTTATCTTGGTGCACGATGTGTGTATATAGTGTTTTATCTTGGTGCACTGTATTTTATTCAGGTACACCTCTGTGTGTGTGCCTATCTTTTTTTTTTAGTATATTTATGTATGTATCAGTGATGAAGGTCTAGAAAACTTATTTTCCAGGCCCGCTCTCCCACAGTCGGACATCCTTAGTCTAGGGTCGAAGGGTTTTAGCTTAAGTCCTTTCGAAACCCAGTACTTGTCAACAGTGCGTAATAGAGACGTGACCGATCGCCCAAGCGGCTAACGAGCCGATCAGTGGTGAAGAGGATAAAAGAAAAAAACTCTTGGGTCTGATGGGAGAGACTTGTCAACTGGTAAGGTTAGATTCAGGTAGTAAAGATGACTCACTTCAGGTCACAACCAATACCATTAATCCAATACTTCTTGGGTCTGGGAAAAAAATTCAATAGAAAAGGATTCCTTAGGTTAAGTTTCTGAGGGAAGATGGCCCACGCAACACATATGATTCCAATTCAGTTCAAACAACAGAACATTGCTAAGTTTTCATCACTGGTCAATCAGGGTCTGACCATTCTAAGTGTGCCCGACAGCTGAGGCCCCATAGATGCTGACCTGAGTATATAGTGAGTATGTTGATGTTTCTTACGTGTAGTGAACACTTCTCATGTTTCAAATATATAGAAAAATTAAGTAACCTAGACATGATCAACGAGCCTAAGATCGAAGATATGACCGAATAAATAAATAAAAAGTAAATGGTGTATATTCAAATACTTATATTAAATATTGAAATTGAAAAAATAATAATTAAGGTATACATATGCCCATACTAGTTAGAAAACATTTATGCTTTAAGACACTACTGGCCCTTCATTATCCATGGACTTCAACCCCTCAAAGATAGCATCTTGTATGAGCAGAGACGTCAAGCTTTACACAATATATATATATATATATATATATATATATATATATATATATATATATATATATATATATATATATATATATATATAATAAATGAAAATAAATGTTAAAATTGCAGTTGTCTCGGTTTCTGTCTCAGATTCTAAAATTAGTGGTTTCATTACACAATGTATTAACCTATTGTTTTATTTTAGTACACTGTGTTTCCTGGGATTTTATCTTTGTACACTATGTATGCCTTGTGTCTTTATCTTATCACACTATGTGTGTACATTGTGTTTTATCTTATTACATTATGTGCATACCTATTCTTTTATCTAATACTAATACCTGTATGTATTAGCCTTAACGTCAATATTGCATGCTAGAAAAATATTGGTCAGATCACATGATGATCTGTATGATTCAGTTATCTGGAATATAAGGCTCATAATAAAAAATTTCAAGTGACAGTGTTAAGCATGACTCACCCGCTGCTTAATGAGAAAGGGAAGGCACGGACAAGTGCCTTAAGTAGTGACCCACTCAGGAGTAAGGATGCTTACCTCAGAAGGATCCGGACACGACTGAAGGTATCAGCTGCTCCATATATATATATATATATATATATATGTGTGTGTGTGTGTGTGTGTGTGTGTGTGTGTGTGTGTATGCCCCCTCAACATCCCCCCCCCCTCACACAAGAAAGCCCTCCTACATGTATTCACCAAAATTCTCCAGTTTCCCCCACCTACTTAACATGGCCGCCAAGTTACCAGCCATCAGAGCGGCTCAAGGGCTCGTTTACCCTGCCGGGAAAACTATATTGTAAATATTTCAGACATCAAAGGTAACGTTACCTTTATACGACGACCACCACCTGGACCACGGGGTGGCGCAGGTGGTGAAGATGGTGCCGGGAATTCATAAAAAGATGACTAGGTAGTTTAGAAGAGAGAAGAATCGTTTTTCCCTTGAACCACTGGCCCCATCTTATTCTAATAATTTTCAGATTAATTTAGATATTTTTCATATGATGCTGTGTTTCCATTGCATTTCAATCCAGTACTCACCCTGTTTGAGGTGAACCTGCAGTTGACTTTGTTCGATTTTTTGTTGATGCATTGAGGTGAGGGAGACGACCGTACTGCCACTTAATCTCCCTCCCATTAGGCCATTACCTCCCATTCTGTCATAACCGTAAAGTTGAATTCGGATGTTTTGTATATAATTAACATTATCGTAAAAATTGAATATAATAAAATGCATTACCGTAAATATGTACTGTATTTAAAAAGGCTTATTACATGCAGTACTTATAATACATATATTTTTATTATATCTTAGGGTGTATTTTTTCTTAGGACAAATCTTCAAAAACATAATGAAAGTAAACATGAAAATTGGATTCAGATTACAGGAATTTCTCAAAGACGTAACCTTTCCATAATGACGGGGTGACTATCTGACAGGTCACATGGGTGATTTACTAAGTGCATAAACGTGATCAGGATTAGAAATCATGTGTAGGAGACCACTGACTAGTGTTTACCAAACTTAACATAAAAGTAAGATGGGTGTACAAGATGATATTACAAACAGACAAGGGAGATGAGACAGTGGGAAAATTAATGGGAGTACAGTACAGTTTATCCGAAAGCTGGAAAAATTATATGAGGTAAATCAAAAGAACATAAGGACACACAAGCTTTGGGGGGAATAGCACTAAGGGTATACTGTAAATGAGCCAGTAGAGTTTGTGTTAAAATTTACGTAGTGCCATTAATCACCACACACTGCTTGCGGTCATGTAGAAAGTGTTCGATTCACACTCGGACATTTCCCCGAACCCCGTACCCTTCCAGTTTAATTGTTTGCCTTTCACGGGGTACACTGTCGAAAGCTTTGGCAAAATCTAGGTACCGGTATGTATTGACGATATTACCTCCCTGTTCCAGAATTTGGGTCGAAACATCCAGTACCTTGGGTAATTGTGTTAAGCAGGAGCGCCCCGGCATAAAACCTTGTTGGCAATCCTTTACAAGGTTGTTTCGTAGTAGATGTTCCATTGTGGCATCTCTGATAATACTCTCAAGTACTTTACATATTATGCTGGTCAGGCTCACCGGTCTATAGTTGTTCGAGGAGTGACGATCGCCCTTCTTGAAGATAGGACTCACATAAGCCATTTTCCATTCACTGGGGACCTTTCGCTCATCCAGGCATTTACAAAACAGGATCTTCAGGGGCTCGGCAAGCTCGTTGCTCAACTCTTTTACCACTCTAGGATACACCATGTCAGGTCCGGGACTCTTATGGACCTTTAGCCTGAACAGTTTATTTCTAATACCCTCTTCTGTGAACACAATGTGAGTCAGTGCTGTGTCGAACCGTCTGTCCTCGAACGTAAGAAGGTTAATTGCATCCTCTGTTGTGAACACCGAGGAAAAGAAGCTGTTCAATGCCTCAGCTTTATCCTGGTCAGAATCTGCGTAACTACCATCTTCAAGCCTCAGGTCTGATACTCCTACTCGCGTTTTTAATTTCGACTTTGCATTGCGGTAAAACGCCTTTCGGTTTGACTTGACCTCGCTTGCAACCAGCCTCTGGAACTCCTTTTCAGCCCTTCTACACTTTGACTTTGCTTGGTTTCTGGCTCTTGCATACATCCTCCTGTCCTGCTCATCATTTGACCCAACCCACGTCTTGAATTTCTGGGTTTTCTTCTTAACTCTGTCGACCGCCGCATGGTTCATGTGTAGGGATCCCCTCGTATTCCTAGAGGCACTGGGTTTGGTCTTGGGTATATATTTATCTATCAAATGGGTCACTTTACTAGTTATGATATTCAGCGTAGTGTCTGCGTTCTTGTGACTTAATGAGTCAGGCCAGTTCATACCCCTCATCTCTGCCCTTAACCCGTTGTAATTTCCCTTGTAATATTTGCACCTTGGCCTGGCCTTATCCTGAACTAAGTAACAGTTAAATCTGAATGACAACACTATATGGTGACTGGTGCCAACTGGGGCAAGGTGTTCCAGTTTGGCCACCATACCCTCCTCGTTTGTTATGATGTGGTCCAGTGGCTTGTTTGCTCCCCTCTGTAATGTGTCGGGTCTCTAACATGTTGAAACATAAAGTTATCTCTCAGTGTTTCTACAAAAAGAGCAGCAGGGTTATTCAAGTCATTTGGGGTGAACTCGTTTCTCCAGTCGATGTCGCCATAGTTAAAGTCCCCTATGATAAGGAGGTGGCTAGGGTTGAGCATTGCCGCATTGTCTATTAAAGCTCTTAAGTACTTTTGATTTAGTGGGCCACAGTTTGGGATCTGTAGATACACCCAACAATAAGTAATTCTCCTCCCTTTAATTTAATTAGACTCTTCAAAAATATCCTCTCCCTGTACCCTCGCCTGGCTGGCTCTAAGGTCTTGCCGAGCATAGATAACCACACCCCTCTTGCAAGTTTCTTGAGAAAGGTTCGTAAATGAGTCGTATCCATCAATACTGAACTCACATTCCTCTGGGTCGATTCTCCTGTTCTTGTACAACAGTTCTACAACTCCTACAATATCTGGTTGGTGTATTTCAGTAGTGTTTCAAACTCCTCTCTCTTATCGAGAAACCTGTCAGTATTAGTGCACATGACATTCAAGCCAGAATTTGTTCTCGGTAACGTCTCTGCTCTTAGTAGTAACCCCCTCCCCCCATTCTCAGAAGCTGCAGCATTTGCTAAGTACACTGTATTTTTCAGGGTATGGTTAGAAATGTCATTGTTTACACGGCTCTCATCTCCTCCTGTCCGGTAGGCAGAGCTGCTGCCGCCTCCCGGGTGGGGGGTAGAGCGAGTGGAGGGTGCGCTGCTGCCCCCTGGCCCTGTGTCGGCACACTTGCTTCCACTACCCTCCCCCTGAATATAACCCATGTACACCTGTCCCCGTTCCTCCTTGACTCCTGCCTCTTCTCCTTCAAGTCCTGCAGGAGCTTCTTGTGATGTTCCCTCTGCATTACCGTGCGATCTGGGTGAATGAATACACCCCGAAATGCGTCGCTCCTTGATAAGTTTTTTGCCCACCGAATAACCTACCATTTCTTTTCCTCTCACTAGTGTGATCCTGAGGGTGTAACAGGCGGAGCTTCTTTCACTTTATATTCCATCTAAGCTGTCACTATTTGTAATGGCCCGAGTTTCTTTACTTCATATTTTACCATCCAGATATTATTTTCTGTTATTATTCTTCAATTCTTTATTTATATATATATATACCTTATATTCTTATTTAGTATTCTTTTCTTAGTTATGTATATTTTTTTATATTAAACTTTCATGGTGTATTTATTTAATAATTTCTATGCTGTGTCTTTAGTTCCACAATGTACAAAAATGTCATATATTTTTTCCATATACTGTATATCATATTTTCTAAATTTCAATGTCCTTACCTTTCTGAAGTATACTCTGTTTTTACTTATATTCTCATACATGGGTTCTCTGGGGAACCATGTTATTCTTAGTGCAACACTTATTATACTTACAAGGGTAGGCTGCCACCACCCAGACTTTTAGTAGAATATAACATAACTCATGGACAGCTGTTGGGTAGTGTGGTAGATGTACAGGCACGTGAGTAAGTATTATTTTCTGGGAACCAATGTTTAGAAGGAATAGAGTGGTGATACTCGTAGATTACTAATTCAATATTTATTAACACAGTGAGTGAATAAGATGTTATTTAAATTCACTCAGACAAGGCTGGACCCTCAGGTCTTACTGTACCATTGACAAAACAGATCCGCAATTACTTATTAATTCATGAAACACTTCAAGTACTTATTATGTCATTAAACAACTCCAAGTACTTAGTATATCATTTAACTACTTCAATACTCATTACTTCATGAGACAACAGTTGTATTATTTCTCTGACAAGTAAGATTCAGGAGTTACTACACACGGTCAGATAACACTGGACCCTTAGGTCATACTTGTAACAAATTACATCTTCAATTCTTGGTTACAACATTTAACAATCATTATATTATTCCATTGTTACTGCAAGTGGATAATATGACACACTTGACACTATCCCGAATTAAAATAGTCTTTATAACAACATGTTATTTCGGAATGACTAACGTGACACTTTAATTCATATTCAGTGGTTTGGTGGACTCAACTCAGAGAATAACAATAACCTTGGTACCACCAACATTCATGGATTCAATACTTAACCTGGGATGCTATATTTCTGCAAGTCATCCCAACCTTAGATATTAACCCGGCTCCATACATATAGCCAAGAACAGTAGATGGACCACGATCACAAGACGGAGTCCACGGGCCAAAGTTGTTTACAGGCTCTCCCGCTAGCTGGGAGCGCCCCGCCCGGGAAGGGTTGTGGCAGAGGGTCGGCCATGGCGCCTACCAAAGAATCTCGCCCTGGGATTCTAATCTCGCCACCTTAAAGACATCCTTCGAGAACCAACTTGCCCATAGGCAGCTACCAAACGTCAGTAGTGTTGCTAACACACAAACAGCGTCTGGAGATGCATAGAGAAGAAATCACGAGAGAGTGAATATTTAACTTCACAATACAAAACATAGGTCTGGCAACGGTCCAGACCACACTTACTTTATATTAATCCTTTCACTGGGTAAATGACGATTTCACTGTTACAACATGAACACTGATATACACAAAATTGACTAAGTTAAACTGAATTAATATGGCGGTAGGGAACACTAATTCACATACCTGGAGATGAGTGGAGAAGAAATCACGAGAGGGTGATTTTTGCTCGGGCATCGATATGCCTGAGGGCATATCGGCTCCAGAAAAACTAATCTTACTAACAATAGACCTTCTATTCAAAGTGATCGCTGGGCACCTTGTAGTGTACCCCATCCCCTACAAGTGACGACTGAGCTCCAGCGCGCCTACCAGCCAATCAGCGTACAGCCAGCGATGCTGGTAGACCTACTCTCCAGTGCAGTCGCACACGTAGCAATGCTAGGACCAGAGTACCAGGGATTCCTGGCGTCCTCCTCTGTGATTGGCTCTCACGCTACACGCACCCCAAATCCTGATGTTTCTAAATTGTATAAATACGGCCGTGGCTGGCCAGGAAGACCATGAACAACAACAACGACACTCGCCAGCCAGCCTTCGCCGTGAACGGACCTCTTTCTAGAACCTTCTCTGCTAAAGCCTGCCAGCCTGTTTTTCAACCGTTGACGACCCCCGAATCGACCCACCACACCCATCATTACACACACCGGTAGCTCGTTGCAGACAACGCCCTCTGTGCTCCTACTGATCAGGGGTGACTCCTGATCAGAGGCGGCCCTGATCGGGTGATCTGTAACGGCTTTCTGTAGCGGATTTGGGCCGCGATCCCATTGGTGTTACTTGCACCTCTGGCTGTTTTACCTTGTTCTTCCTTCTTTTTTCGCTCTGGCCTGGGGACCTGCACCCTAGAGGTGTATTCGTCCTTGGGTCCCCCCTGTAACTGTTCACCTCCACTGTAGGGGTTTGTGAACACGAAAGGGGGTAGGAGCAGAACCCACCTCTCCGCCGAGCCTTCCTGGGAAACCGTGATCGTGCGTGTTCCACCTAGGAAGGGGGTCGCAAATCCTTAATCCTCCACCCCTCCCCCGAATAGGTACACATCAAGTTCACGCCTATAAGTGAACATTCAGTAACACTAGGGAAATAGGATCCCCTGACGGGGCTTTCGGGACAGTGTTGCGGGAACCACTCTACGACCACTCGACCAACAAGTGGCGGTGGGGAGTGTTGTAATTCTTGTAACAAACTCTGTCCTGGAATAGGTAGGTCTCAAGTTTGAAATCACGCAAGGGTGGCATGTCCACCACACACCCTCTAGTATGAGAGCACACCGGATACGGATACGCTCCCATGAAGGGGGCGTGACTGACGGAAGAAAAAATGAATTAGCAAGACTCCTTACTACAACACTACTAATCAAAATTTCCAACCTTATCACGACCAAGGACTCCTTCATCGCCTTGTGCCTGACTGAGAATGATGTTGACCAACTCCTATCGAACGACAGCACAAAGAAACTGAAGTCCGCGAAATTCGAAGTTGCAATCCCTCCTCAACTCCGAGCGAGGAAGTCAATCGTGATCAAAAGATTAGATAAAGCAATCACTGAAGAATCTAGCGAACAGGAATTGGCATCTGATATAGAAGACAAAAATGAATGGGCCAAGGTGGAGGAAGTTGTCAAGCTGCCCAGACTGCCATCCATGCTGAAAATACGGTTCACTGAAATAGCCATGGCCCAAAAAGCAATCCAGGAGGGACTGTGTCTCTCCTACTACCACGTTAGCAGCAGCCAGGTGGAGCAGGAGGAATTCTTCCCCATAACTCCATGCTGGAATTGCTACCAATATTCACACATGGCAACAGACTGCCCTAACAAGGACATCAAGCACTGCTCAGAATGCGGGAATAAGGGGCACACCTTCAGAGAGTGCAAAAATAAAGACAACCCCAAATGCCTAAACTGCGAAGGGGATCACAGAACACTGGCCACTCGCTGCCCCATACGAAAAGCGATAGTCAATCAAAAGAAGGAGAAGGAGAGGGAGAAGACACAGGAACAGCAAAACAAGACATACTCAGCTGTAACCAAACTAACCAGAGAAACGACAAAGATCCTCGAAAAAGTCGCCACACCACCCCCCGCAAACCAACCTATTGTGCTTCAGCTTGGAAATAATCTTTCTGTAAAAATAATGACATCCATAATCCACGCCCACATAATGAATATAGCCAGACCTGGAACTTTCGCCAAGGCAGCAAGAGACATGTTCGCCGCCAACAACCTGCCAGATATGGAATTCCCAAATGATGTGCCTTCCTCTGAAATCTTCAACTTCATTTACAAATCAGAGAGCACTGAAATCCAAATACCAACAACTCACGAACCTTCAACTAATGAACCATCAACACAAGAACAGACTACCTCAGACATACAACCCGAGCCAGCAAGCGATGAAGAATCAATGGAAGACTCAAGCGAAGATGAAACCACCACAATAATAGAACAAGCCGCCAGAGTCAAAACCCCAAAAAAGAAACAAACAGGAACTAAGGTACCACCTGCTACGGAGAACAAAGATCTAGGGCATGAAACTGGTGTCCGATTCTACTCCACTACAGCTCCTCCCATAGTCTCAAAAGAAAGATTAATGGCAGAAATAAGGCAAGGCAAGATCAAATACACATACTCAGACAAAAACCTAGATGACTCACATATTGAAACACTAATGAAGAAGGGAAGAATCCTCACAAAACACAACAGAATAGAAAGAGTTGATCAGTCAACATTTAAAAAGATCCGCTTGGGCCTGGACAGGAGGCTGTCAGGGGAGCACCGGTCAGCAAAAATGGCGCAAACCAGCTCTAGACACCAGCCTTCATAATAAATAAGCTAAAAATAATCCAACACAATGTCTTAGCATGGATCCCACAAAGAGCAAGCGAATTATACAACACATACCGTAACATAGACCCAGATATTATTCTCATCAATTCGCATGGAAAGAAAAACTCAGAAAAAATAAAACTATTTAACTACACAGTATACCAAAAAAACAATCAAGACACACCTCATGATGGAATAGCCATAGCCATCAAACGAAACATACAACACAAGATACACGACTCATTTCAGGAAAACTTTCTGGCGATCGAAATTAACTGCCCAACAGGACCTATTATAATCGGCACCTGTTACCTCCCTCCAAGAAGACCCATATTCCCATTAGCAGACATGCTCAAACTCCTGAGAAGAAACATACCAGGATATTTCTTGGGTGATTTAAATGCTCGACATCGCGTCTTGGGACACCAGGACAACAACGCCGTGGGCAAGATCTTAAACACATTACTGAGTCACGGCAACGCAATTCACCTCGGCCCGGAATTCCCCACATACATCAGTGCAGGTAAAATCGGACATCCAGACATAGTATTAACAAACCAGCATCACCATCTTAACCTGCAAATGGAACCCGGCCCAATAACCACCAGTGACCATCTCCCTATCGTAGCCACACTCTCCACGTCGCCAATTCAGATCCCTGCCAGGACGAGATACAGCTACAGCCGATCCAACTGGGAGGAATTCCAAAATGAGTTAAGCAACCACCAAATAACCAGGCTAAACAACAAACACACCTCCCAAATAGACAGCACACTGGAGACATGGTACGGAAACGTGATCCAAGCAATGGAACACCACATACCCACGACCACTCACCGCACATTACCACACCCCCAATACACACATCAATCAAGAATTTTACAGACACAGTTTAGTAACTTATTCAAATTAATCCTAGAACATGGATGGACGCCAGAATACAGAATACAATATTACACCATACACGATCAACTAAGAGACATGTCCAAAGAAGCATACGTGAAGAACTGGGAGAAATTAATAACAGACACAGAAGCAACTTACCACGACCCGAAAAAATTCTGGCGAAAAATTAAAAACCTAATGGGAATCTCAAGCAACGAGACAAACTACATTTTAAATAGCAACCAAATCAAATTAACTGAACCCAAAGAACAAGAACCTGAATTCAGAAAATACTGGAGCAAAATTTTTCAAATAAGCCAAGAAGACAACCGGAACTTCTGTATGAATACCGAGCAACAAGTAACCAATCACATGACACACACAACCCACATCTGGCACCCAAGTCCCAGCATTGACACACACGCTTTGGACGATCTTTCCACACTGATTCAACCAATCACCGCAGAGGATATTCAGAAAACAATAATCAGTTTCAAAAATAAGGCCCCGGGCATCAGTAAAATTAACAAACCCATACTCCAGCATTTACCAATCAACATGATACACCAACTCAGTCACATTTTTAATGCAGCACTTGCCTCTGGCTACTTCCCAAGAAAATTTAAAACAGCAATCATCAGACTTATATCAAAACCAGGCAAATCCCCAACCCAAGTAGCAAACTACAGACCAATCTCTCTCCTAGAAATACCGGGAAAAATCCTAGAAAAAATAATTAACCGCCGACTGAGAACACACCTCGAATTTGAGGAGAAATACAACCCCAGACAGCATGGATTTAGAAAACATAGAGGAACCCATACAGCCTTAGCCCTAATTTACGAAAACATAGCAAACGCGATGCACAACAACGAACAATGTAACGTAGTACTAAGGGACGTAGCTAAAGCATTCGACAAGGTCTGGCACCTAGGACTCAAATACAAAATTACCACCCAAGAACTTCCCAACAACTTTACTTCCATTCTCTGCAACTTCCTCGATAATAGAGAGGCCAAAATTATCATAGGTAACCACACAGGCCCAAGCTTCAAATTATACAGCGGAGTACCACAGGGAAGCAACCTCTCGCCAACACTCTACACAATATATACGGCGGACATGCCACCTCCTGTACACGGAGAATATGTAGCCTATGCTGATGACGTCACACAAATCATCCGATATCCAGGCAAGGGCAAACAAATGATGGCAAGGATAACAACCCACGCCATCGAGCAAATCAACGAATATGAAAAAAAATGGAAAATTCAAACCAATACACAGAAACTAATGATAATACATATTGCCAGAAAAAACCCTACACCAATCACAGTCAACAACGTACCTATACAATACTCCAACCAAGGTAAAATTCTGGGACTCACAATAACAAGAACAGGCATAGCAAAACACGTAAAACAACGCAAACAGACTGCCCAATCACAACTCACGAAACTGAGACGATTCAGCAAAATGGACACCAAAATTCAACTACACCTATACAAAGCACTTATCCGCCCACACCTAGAATATCCACCAATACCACTCAACACGATCAGCAAATCCAGTCAACTTAAACTTCAAGCAGTACAAAACAAAGCTATCCGTAGAGCATCAAAGCAACTTCCGCCATACACCACCAAAATACAAGAACTTCACGAATTATTCGATATCGAACCACTGAATATACGTACACACAGCCAAGCACAGAGAGTATGGACCAAACTTGAAGAGATGGAGGATCCATTATTCTCCAAGTTAAAAGAAGAAGGAACAACTAAAATACACAGCTGGTGGCCTAAGAGCTTCCATGCTGACATTACAGAACAAGAACCACTCTACACAAAGAGATAAACAAATAACACTACCACCGGACAAATAAAAATTAACACTCACTACAATAATGAATATCTAGCTAGCTTAACTCCTCCCCCCTCCCTCCTCAACCTCCTTCCCTGAGCGGACGGGCCTGTGCTGCACGCTGCCGCCACCCAATCATTTCAACTCGTCTCCGCTAGGTGGACAGCCCACCTGCTATCTACCCCTCCCACTCTTCTTCCCGTTTCTACGCTTTACTTCTCTCTCTCTCCTCTCCTTTCCCAGTGCAAAGTCATTTGCCACTTTACTTCATTATCATCATCATCATCAGGGAGACCATTCTACTCTGACCTACTGGACCAGCAAGAACTCTCTCCAGTGCCTCTCCACCCAGCTCCCTCAGAAAGCTCCTCGCCCTACAGGACCTCTGAGCAAGCTACTCCTCACCTAGTAGCTCCTTAGCACTGCACTGTACAACAATATATATATACAGAAAACGCATTGTGAGTTTCTAATCTACCTCATTCCTGAGTGTGAGATATCTACATGTACGTACGTTTGTGTGACCATACAAAGAGACAATAGACAACTAAAGAGAATTTACAACTGGCCGCATACAGTACGCTACAACCTAGCTGTGACCGTCAGTGTCACAGATCAAGCTAATTTTCTACGTCCATCTTTATGATCTAATCAGAGATTGAGTTTGTCAGGAAAGAGGTGAAATAGAGTTATATATGCCCTAGCAACTCTACTCGCCTGACCGCAGACCACATTCCAGGTCAAAACAGCCGTTAAGTCTTGGAGAATTTTGAGTCTGACAGGAACTGTTCAGTAGATTAATGACTTTCTAAAATAGACAACTGACACTAACTAAACTACAAACATCAGATTCTCTGATGTTTGGGCAACAAAATAATATCACTTCAAGAGCGATCAGAAATTCAGGATATCCCCACGAACGACATAAAATATGCCACTCTAGCTGGCAAACTCGACACTCACTCACTTGACAAGTTTTACGAACAATAAGGACAGTTGAAGCTTTCAACGCCACTCACAATGGATCTTGAATGTTCCAACTGTAAACAGACATATCCAGATAATAAGGGCCTGTGCTTGGTAGCGTGACGAGAGGAGGCTCGTGAGTATATGTAATGATAGTATCAAATAATAGGGAAGAAATAACGATAGATACTGTAGGTAAATAATAGACACAATATACAAATACAATATTTATTTAAACATTAAATGGAGGTAGGAGAAAGAATATATGTGCCAACAGACGAAACCTGGTACTATGCCCTCAGGCTCAAAATACTCACACCACTACTGGGTGGACATACTCAATAACACATAAACTCTTATAGTAACTTAGCACCATTAAGACCAGGGGCAACTGCCACTACAACACTCAGTCGTCAGGAGCGATACTCAAACAACCGCTATGGGGTCCCGCCACCATGGGGGTACTTTCCAACGAACTCTGAAGATCCCAGTGGAATAACACCACCACACAAATAGCCCTATTGAGTTAGACACTCATCCACCAATGATGGGGGCTGGGAGTTGTGTGTGGCTTGGTGATCCAGGGTCACCTCGTTGGCCGAGCGTTAGGGTCAGACGGGCCAGCTATGGGGCCCATAGGTAGTACTGACGTGTCTGACGGTCGGGTCTCACGAAGATAACTGATCCTACTGGACCTCGAACATCTCTCCAGACATAGTGGATACAACATCCACGCTACAGACACGGCCTAGGCTGCGTTAGGGACCTGTATGGGTGAAGTGGCGAGCACTTACTAACGGTTGAAATGCCCGCGGCACCCTCACTCAAATTTGGTCAGGGAGTCCACCTACTTCTATTTCGATGAATTACTTTACTGTACACTCTAATTTGAAACTGAGATTATGAACTCAGTTTCATCCCCTACTATTATCTTCACTAACAATGCTCTGACTGAGCTATCAAAAGCAAAATCAAATTGATTACAAAGGGTTGGATGGCAACAGGTCCCAACATACAGCGTCTTGTTACGAAATCCGCGGATTATATTCAAAGTTTCCTTCAGACAAAGACGGCCTCTCGATGACGTCATAAAGGAAACAGAAAACGGGGGACGTTTCCACTGGGGAACTCAGAAGGTTTTGTGGACGTTTGAGCGTAATATGAATCCTTAAGGGTTTTAGGTTAGCCGTCATCACGATCATATCTAGGTTGCCTCACCAATTGCAACCACAGTTGCTATTTCAAATTTTGTCATTACTAAGGAATAATGAAGTCTCGGGTGCATTCTAAGATTGAGAGAAAACGGAGAACTCAGGCGTCCTGAAGTGATGAGAAAACGTACTCCTCAGATGGGTAACTCCAATAAGAAAGCATAGCTACATGTTTTGTGGACTATTGAGCGTAATATGAATCGTCTGATTTTACGTTAACTGACGTGTATGACCGTGGTCATTACAAGGGGGCGAGGCTTATCCCCCTGCTTTTGTCTTAGCCTCCTCACATCCTGAGGGGTTGATGGAATCTTGAGAACCTCCGTGCAAATATTTTGAAACTGCATTTAATCGTGTTACCTTACTCTCAGTTCCCTCCGCCTCTCTCAGGGACTCCAAAAACTATTACTACTGTACATTGTTCCTACGCTGGAAACGTTCCCGTTGTTCCTCCTCTCCCCTATCAGTAGGTATGCTAGTTGCCATCTCTTTATCACACTTCTTCAGAGTCCCTAGCTGCAGTATAACCTTTTGTGATCCTGCATTACTCTCCACCATCCCCCGTGGCCCTGCTAGTGCCTCAGCATAACTCCTCTTAGCAACCACCTCCATTCTATCGGCTACTTCCTCAGTCTTAGCAAGGATCTCTTTCCCAACTTGCTCCAGTTTGGCAACCAGCAGGGCTCCTGCAATTGTGTGTAAATGAGGCAGAAAGTCAGATCAGCAACCTGGGACTTGATCACAATTTTCGTGATGCCATATGACAGCAGGGTCAACCATTAGACAACACATTATGCTTCCAATATCTTCCCAGGCTGTAGTACCTCCCTGTTTGGTAGCTGCCTATCAGTGGCGCACCCAGGGGGGGTTTCCTGGTTGCCCGGAACCACCCCCCCTCCAGGTACTGCATGGTGCGGCCAACCCATACCTGACCTGGCGACACCTTAGTAGCATGAAGGTTGGGTCAACTTACCTGACCTCACCCCAACCCACGGTAACTTCCACCACCTCTGCCATTCCCCTGCACCTGAATGCACTTAATATACAGCACTGCCAGACAGTGTGAAATATTGAGATTTATTTATTTTTTCATTTTCTCATCTACATTGTACATGCTCTGCAGAAAGATCATTCAGTGGACTGAAACGAATAAAAACAACACTCGCATCAACAATGGGGAATGAGAGACTGACAGGCCTGACATTCTGCACATGCACCGAGATATACCAGTGGATATAAACTAAGTAATTGACACATTTGCACAGAGAAATCCCAGGAAGATGAAATTTGCCAATGTACTTGCAGAAAAATAAAGGCAATGTATTTTACGGGTGTTCAAAAACTGTTAAGCAGATTCTATGAGCTCTGTTAGTGTTCAATGTTAGTTAGTCATTATATACAAGTATTAAAATGCTTAATGATTGTTCCACATTCAGTACGGTAATAACCATATTATCTACTCTATATTTAGTGCAGTAAATTCATGTATTTTAAAATTGTGTAAATAAAATATTTTAAAAAATCTTATGACTTCTATTATCCTGTATTATAAGTATATATACAAAGATGAGGATGCTAAATTACACCATCTTCAACCTCAGATTATTTCCTAAGATTCAGTGCAAATGACGTCAAATATAAATAGGAAAAAGTAGACCCTTACACCCAGGGGTTTCCAAATTACTTTCAGTACAAACCCCCCTTCTACTCAATTTCTGGGTGCGCCCCTGCTGCCTATCTACCTACAGTGTGTAACAGAGACGTGACCGATCGCCCAAGCTGCTAACGAGCCGATCAGTGGTTAAGAGGATAAAAGTAAAAGTATGTGACAATAAGAGTCAATTCGGTCAAGAGAATGAAGCGACCATAACGCACGTGTAGGTGTGACGTCAGTGGAACAGTGTTGAGCAGTTTGTTGTCTTGAGTGCTTGGTGGATAGTGCATTCTCCTTCCTCCGCTTTTTACAGTGGTGTATTATTTGGGAAAATTTTACAAAAGCATAGACATTTATAACATGCACATATGAATTCTAGGGAGTAATGTTGAAGTTATGTTATTGGTACAGAGAAGGTTATTAGTACTTGTGGTTGTACATCTGGCCGTTATGTGAACTTTAATGACGTGTACAGTACAATTAAATGGAGTTAGTTGTTATGATATATACTGTATACAGAACTACTTACTAGTATTGATAATATGTATTCTGTAAAATCGTCATATAAGTTTACAATCGGTTTGGTATGTATTTGTTGATAAATATGGTAAAGGTAGAGAACATTGTTAGCCAGCATTGTATTGTTAATAGTATAGAAACTCACTCTTCTACTGTTGTTTCATGTGTATATTTTTTTAGGTATAGCTTTTAATTTTGTTAGGCATTGGATATTTTGCCGTGACAGGCTAAGCTCCTACTCGTGCTATTTATCCGTGAGTGCGCTCTGGTTGGCTATTCATCCCTTACTGGCAAACAGAAGTTGTTTGATTTTGTTCATTTTTTCCACATGTACTTATCATTATAAAAGAGGCGACATATACTAGAACCTAATACAACGTGACCTTAATATTGGAAGAATAAGTACTGATAATGTATACAGCCTTAACAACATCAACCTAGAGAAGTCGACTTGTGAAAGAGACCTAGGGGTACTTGTAAGCCCGGACCTACAGCCTAGAAAACAGTGCGTTAATGTTCGAAATAAGGCAAACAGAGTATTGGGTTTTATATCTAGAAGTGTAAGTAACAAGTGTGCAGAGGTCTTATTGCAACTACAGTATATCTTGCGCTAGTCAGGCCGCACCTCGATTATGTGGTTCAGTTCTGGTGCCCCTATTATAGAATGGATATAAATTCACTAGAGTCGGTGCAGCGAAGAATGACAAAAATGATTCCGGGACTTAGAAACCTTCCATATCAGGATAGGTTAAAGAAACTTAACTTGCATTCCCTAGAAAAGAGTGCGGAGATATGATAGAAAGTATTTAAGTGGGTGAAAGGAATCAATAAAGGGGATATAGATAAAGTTCTTATAATATCCGAGCAGGATAGGACTCTCGAGCAACGGATTCAAGTTGGATAAGTTTAGGTTTAGGGAGGAGGAAGAAACTGGTTCACAAATAGGGTGGTGGACGAGTGGAACAAGCTTAGCAACTTTGTAGTAAGTGCGGGAACTCTGGAAAGTTTCAAAAGGAGGCTAGATAGATTCATGGATGATAGAGAGTGGTAGTAACTCTCGACAGGAACTGCCATGCACAGGCCAACCGGCCTATTGCAGACTCCTTATTTTCCTATGTTCTTTTGTAACCAACCAAAGAAACCTACCTAACCAATCAAGGAAACCTACCTAACCTTACCTAACTTCCTGGTCGGAGCGCACATCACCGTCATATTAAAGAGGAAGTACTTAGCCAATCAGAGCGCACTCAAGGTAAAATAGCATTAGTAGGAACTTAGCCGGTCATGGCAAAATATCCAATATGATTTTGTTATAACATTACTAGTTTTAATGTGGTTAGATAATTTGTTTTCAGTTTGTTATAATGGTATCTCTTTAGTTTTGGATATCCAGAGAATCTTGGGAATTAGGTTAAGTTAGGTATTCAAACTGTTTTTCCGATGGTTTTTCATGTGTTTTGAATGATTTGTACCTTCAAATCTGTCGGAAATCACATACAGTAGTTTGGATATATAAATACAGGGATGACCGAAGCTAAAATTTTTCCGTTATAACTAGTAGATGATGATGAAGCCCTGTATGTTTCTATTGTGACTACAGCACTGTACGAGGAAATTATAAATAAATATATCTACACAAGATAGGTATGATGTATTGAATACTAATCATAAAATCATGTACTGCTGCATACCATACTAAGATCAATAAAAAGTTTGTATATTTTTTTTTTTACTAATATACCTGTACTATTTATGAATGCATTCATGAATATTTTCATAAAGTATTTGTATTTGGAGTGACATTGTTCTTTGTACAGTATTCATATTTATATTCTTAGAAATTAGAAGTAGTTTCATTCAAATACTTAAACTTTTGTAGTCACTCCATCCTTGATACAAGTACATGGCACTTTCCAAACTGAATACTTGTATACATGTCAGATACTTTACTGGTATTTATAATTCTGTATGGGTGTACCTCATGCCCCTGATTTATTATGCTGCACTGTACTCTGTGTATGTGTATATATATTTGTTGTATGTATATATTAAATATACTGTATAGAATTTTAATTTTTCTTTGTTTCTTTTTAAGGTGCAGACTTGTTTGGGAACTCTTGTGATTGTAGTGCATACCTTGTGCGTTGTGGTGTGTAGGAAGTCTTTTGAACAATATATGTGGGAAGCAAGAACAGCATGAACTCCAGTGCTTTTTGACATGTTGCTTTTTTCTAAATACAGTATTAAGGGTTTTTAAACTACCTATACAGTAATTACCCATACTAAATAACACACCTGAAGTCATGGAACTACTGTGGAGAATACTGTGGTGGTTATATGCCTTTGTATTTCTTGTGCTGTTTTTATCAGCAACTGTCCACCATCACTTAGGTCTGCGTAAGCATTACATAAATTTTCTTTTGAGGCTGTTTGCCTTTGGACAAGAGCGTGTGGAACGTAAGCGTTTGTTACGCCCACACAATGAAGCAGATGAATCAGAATCTTCTTTAGATGAGCAAGACAGGCCATTAATTTCTGCTGATCATCCAAGAGCTCTGGGCATCAAAGAAGATATTAAAGGCTTCCAACTTGATAATGTATTGGAGTACATCAGTGCAGGAATGGGAGCCATCATGGAAGATAACCTAACTAAATCATTTGAACCAGAGCAGCTCCCTGCATGGAATCTCCTATCACGTACAAATGACCGTGCTTATGAATTTGTGTCTTTCCGATTGACAGTATGCTGGCTTATTGGCTTTCTTGTTCGTTATTTCCTACTGTTTCCTTTACGTATTGTCATTCTTCTTCTTGGTGTGTTGTTGTTTTGGACATGTATGGTAGCTATTGGAATGTTTCCTGCTGGCAGTTTCAAGCGCTGGCTTAATGAGAAACTCCTGGTTTTTTGTTTTGATTTTATAGCAGGATCGTTGTCTCTTGTTGCCACTTTCCACCATGAAGAGAATGCTCCAAAGGGTGGCATAGCTGTTGCTAACCACACTTCACCAATTGACTCCATGGTGCTGGCTACTCACAACTGCTATGATATGGTAAGGAGTATTTTTTTTTTATCTCCTAGCAATAATTATGTTGCCTTTATAGTTCCTCCACACCCCATGTTTATCTATTCCCCTTCTTTCTTTTTCTGCTTATCTTCTGTTTTTCTGTCTGTGGTCACTCAGTTAGGGTTTGGTTGGGGTAGGGGAGGTCAATCAACCTTTGGACAGTGCATTCCACAACCTCAATCCCCTACATTTCATTTCCACTCTCCACACCTCATCCCTCACACCTCACCCTTCATACCTCACCCCTTCCCCTCACCTCTTCCCCTCACCCCTTCCCCCCCACACCTCACCCACATACACCTCATCCTACCCCTACTCTGTGCTCCTCAGGCCCTCACTCATTCCATCACTAGACAATGTGATGAATGATGATTAATTATTTAACCATATGTAATAAATGTATGTTTCTTATTTTACAGTATATGTAATACTGTTTTGTAGCTACAGTATTCCATTGTATATGAGATTGAGCAAGTACCATTTTTGGTACTGTACACTCCTGAATACCTCCCTGGATCAGATATTTGTACATCTAACCAGTGCTCAATTTGCGGTGGAACATACCAGAACAGCGTTCCGGCACTTATTTTCCATGAATAAATTGTAGGTGTAATCAGTACTATGCATATACAGTAATTTCTTTGCAATATATCTGTACAGGCCTTGGTAATACCAAGTGCCTTGCCAGTTCCGCAGGCTCTGTCGGCTACTTTGTAGCATCCGTCTGGCTCACTAGAGTTCCACCACTTCATATTTTACAAATTAAGCACAGGTCCTGACCATCCTCCTTAGACCAAATCCTCACACTCTTGATTGGTGACTGATAATTTCACTCACGGTATTTTCACTGCTGGTAAACTCACTCCTAGAATTATTTTGTCAATGTGAAAATACAAAAAAGTTTTTAATGTTATATAATGTAGGTTGGTGTAATTCACTCCCAGCACTGTCATGTATAGGACAGTATTGTGATTACTAAATTGATATACTGTACAGTACAGTAGCTGTACATGTATATCAATTAAGATTGAATTTAATTACTTTTAACTTTAATTTAAAAAACAAGTAGATCTGAATATTTTTCAATACACAGAAGATGGATCTATCAGTGACATGGAAGTGTTGCCACCTTTAGGTATGGCCTAACCTGGTGAGTGATTCAGTTACTGCTGCCAGGTGAGGTCTGAGGGTTGGTCTTTCAACCATGCCTCGCCTTATCAACAGCACCCAGGGAAGGGGAAAACATGTACTGTAGATGATATGAAGTACAAAGTACATACACAAAGCACAGAAAATAAAAGCCTATGAGACCAAGACTTATTGGCTTGAGGGAGGCTCTACTGTAATCTCTCCCCAAGAATTTTCTCGGTAAGTTGTTGCTTGTTACAAGGAACGGCTAATGATTTGTATCTCTTAAAAAAAATTGGTAGATGTCACTTTTAATGTTGATACTTTTTTCTATAAAGATCACTTAATATAGATAAACTGTATTTATTTACCTTAATAAATTATTTCAAGGAGTGAGTTTACTGGGAGTGAAATGCATAGGAAATGAAATTAACAGGAGTGGAAATACTGTATTGTACTGTGAGTGAAATCTCCTAGTACCTTCTTGACCATCCGCCTTGGACCAAATACATTACTGCTATAATCAGTCAGGATAAAGTAGATACAGTATTTGGTATATAGCATTGCAATACAGTAATAAACTGTACCTGACCATTCACTTGCCATTGGTCATTAGAAGGGGTTTCAGAATCAATCCCCCATTATTGTTGACTATTTTTAATCATATTTTACCGCATACAGTACTTACTTGAATTCATATTTTATTAATTTCACAGGTTGGCCAGAAACATGATGGCTTTTTGAATATATTCATGTCAGCACTGAGTCGAGCTTCCACCCACATCTGGTTTGAGCGTTCTGATGCCAAGGATAGATCTTTAGTTGTAAAGAGGTAAGGTTTAAAAATGTTTTATTATAAATCATGCTCTTAACTTAAAAGATAGCCTTTTGTTCCTTGCCCATAGTAGCCACTGTTGGGCAGTTTTCATGTCTTTTTTTACATTCCACAAGATTTTTGGTGTTTTTTTTTTACCTTTCATCCTAGAAAGGCCACTCACACCTTATTTCCACACATTATCTTTCTGTGTTTGTTTGACTCCACTCTTATGACTGGGCTAATCCTCATCCTTGGAAAGTGCTATGATAACATAAGCTACCAGCTGCCAACTTCCTTGGGGTTTGGTTTAGACTGTATCATACTCTGTTGTATGAAAGGTAAAGAGTGAATCCTTACTATGCTTTTACTTACTTTGTTTTGCAAGTGTATATGTACGTATATTGCATCCTTACTAGCAGGTAACTTGTATGAAGGTTTAAGGGCCCATCATACACTGGCATTGTGATAACCTTTCACACTGCTAAGTCTTACTCATTTTGTTAATTGTTTTTTGCCAGTTTTGATGGCTTGGGAGCTTACTGTCAGTCTCACCACTGGATTACTGAAGTCTGTTTATAATATCTTGTAGGACTGATTGTGTACTGTATTCACTTGTATTTGATGTTGAACATAGAAAGGTCCAACGCTCTTTCCTATGAAAACATCCTTGACGGAATATTAATGTTTACCTAAAATTCACACTGCTCCCGTTTATAGGTAACAAATATCCTCCATCATTCACTGGCAATTTCAAATTACATTATACAGGCTATACAAGTATGTGTTATGTTTATAGCTATTTTGTACTAATGAACAATGTTCCTGTTGATGTACCTTTCATAACTTATGATTTGTTAGTTTGTGTGCTCCATCTTAGTTGAGCCCAGTTGGTAGTCTGGCTCAGTATTTTGGGTCACCCCCTTGGTTTGAAGGGAAGTCTTCTTGGTGGCAGTGCACTTAGCTCTCCCACCACACTTAGGATGGTTCTGAATTCTTGCCTGGGCCTTCTTTCTGTCCTGCCTCAGGAATTAAAGTGACCCCTGTTACAGGTTACTTCAGGTTTAATGGCATAGTGGCCCTGCTTCTTCCTGATAGGGTGGTGTTTTTGTATTTGTGCTTCATGGCTGTGTATTTTGAGAATTACTTCCTTGCTATACTGTGGTCTACAGTACATCCCTGATAGTTTTATTGATTCACTCTGAACTTAAAGAACCACATCTGCAGTGATTTCCTCCTCATGCTGTGATATTGCCTATGATAGGCTGACACTCTTGTAACATAAGTGTTGTACAGTATGGAGTTACCTGTGAATATATGCACACAGGCTCTTTGTGGTTCCCAATAAACCCCAAAGCAATGCTGACTGGTGGTAATCTGTTTATTTTACTTATCTATGATGTCTTTGCTCAGAATCAAAGATTGGAGGTCAAAGTTTGCCCTAATAGTATAAGAGAGTCATGACACTGTGTAACTAATTCTTCATTTAATAATTATGTAAACCAGGTTTGCCACGCAGACATTCGTTGATTTACAAAAGGATTCTGTTCCTCAAAAGCATTTTAAAAATTCAGTTTTTTAAATCAGATTGCATTTACCTGTAGACTCACAATATGAAAGTTGAGATACGTTCCTACGAAAAAAACTTCCCCAGAGGTCTTAAAGCACTGGGAAAAATGTTTTTAATAAGAATTTTGTTTTAAGCAGTAGTGCAGGTAATTATAAGCCAATATTAAGCATAATAATTGAAATGCATGGAATGGAAGAAACAGAAGTTACAGAGACACTTTTCTACAAACTCAGGTAAATGTTAATTTTACTTCTTAAATAACAAAATAATGAAAATATCATTGTTTACATAATTCAAATTAAAAACTACATTAGATACTGTCTATTTAGTTGAGAGTTCCCTAAAAATGAGTTAAATGGGTTTGTTGATGTTCCAGAAGCTTCTCACATGGTCAATGTGAGAACAAGTACAGTATGTACAGTACTTTACATATAGCATCTGGCATAATTTATCGTATCTCAAATCTTTGTTTTAATGTTATTAATGTTAATTTCAAAACCAATGGAGAAATAATAATAATAATTTATTGTTACAAATACAGAGTAAAGTACAGTATATATATATATATATAATGTAGATAATCATGGTACTGTATTGGGTTGTTTATTCAATTTGACAATAATTAATGAACCTATATTTCTGGTAAATGTTGTGACTCACTACAAGCTTCTGGAATGTCAACAAACCATTTAAATCTCTTGAGGGAATTCTCAACTTCTAAATAGACTGTATTAAATGTGTTTATTTTTATTTAAATTATGCATACAACGAAGTTTTCTTTGGAAATTATTCGGGACGTGACTGACTGCTGTTTTTCATTAAAATGGTTTTAAAAATACCCTGTTTTCACTGATTTTATTAGGAGATACTGTATTATGCTGTGGGAAAGTATAAGAATGGGTGAAATCATGTGCTAACCTAACCAAACTGAACCTATCCTATATCTTAACTCACCTACAGTATATCTAGAAAAGTAAGCATTTGCCCAAGAAAATGAATAGAAGTGAAAGTAATCAGCGTACAAAACTGTGTCTAAAAACACCCTCCATAATTACCGAACTGCTGACGGCCACGTCTCATATACAGGTTGTACCTCCCTAGTCCGGCATTCTGTGGTCCGGAACGATTTTAGTTTGTCCAATAGGTAGATAGGCAGCTTTTTTTTTTCTTCTTTTTTTTTTCTTTTTTTTTATTACTTATCTGAATTATTATTATTATTATTACAGGATTATTAAATTTTTGCCCCTCAAGCCCCAATGTGGGTCAGTGACCTATGCCCGGGTGGGCTAATCCCCGTAAAAAACAACAACAACAAAGCCGCGGGAAATTAAGGTTTATTTACATCCGGCAGTTCGGCTGCTCTCTCTCTCTGCTTGTCTATACAGAGTACAACATTTAACCCTTCAATATATATGAGCAGTAAATAAGTGTTGCTTTCATATTCTTATGTAGAGTAGTGACGATATGTTTTCACATGTGCGCACTTACATACGCGCAGTCTCACTTTTTTTTTACCATTAATGGTTAGCTACTTATATTGTTCCATTTATTAACATTAAATAACATTACAGGTACTTCAAACAACCATATTAATTTTTTTACATTAATTTTACTACAGCTACAATCAGGGTCTTATTTTCTTTAGTTTTATATGTAGAACCAATCAGTCACTGGTTTTGTAAGCTTTAACAAAAACAATGCCGGCAGCCGTCTCGTATCCTCGTGTGTTTTAATATTCCATGTATTATTAATAAATTGTAATTATGCACACAAACATTAATTCAATAAAAACAAATTCAGAAACATTAATTAAAATATATATGAACAGTAAATAAGTGTTGCTTTCATATTCTTATGTAAAGTAATGACGATGTTTTCACGTGTGCACACTTACATACACGATCTCTCTTTTTTCTTTACCATTATCGTTAGCTACAGGTAGTTCTGCTATAACGCGATAATTGTGTTCTTGTAAAATATCGTGTTATAGAAAATCGCGTAATAGAAATAACAGGGCTTATGGAGAAAATAGGGTTAGGTGCAGATTACTACTCGAAATCGAAAAAATTTAGTATTTAGCCTAACACAAAGGATAGTACAGTCTAAATAAATGTTACATTCATTTCTAATAATGAAATCATACAGTAAATGTAACACTTTACTTGATGGGGGAGAAGGGTGATTTTGAGGTTGATAAAATCGAGCTTCTCTTCAAGTGTTATATCCTTTCTTTTACGATCATCACTGGGAATTCTATCACCAGAACGCTTCTTGTTGATATTCTTCTTTACTATATTCACAGTTAATACATTACCACAAAATTGGAGAAATAGTAAGCAAAAATCGCGTTATAGCAAACAAGCGTTCGCGTTATACAAATATCGTTCCTAATTCATAAATCGCATTAGAGCAAATTCGCGTTATCAAAACACGCGTTATAGCAGAACTCACTGTACTTCTATTGTTCCATTTATTAACATTAAATAACATTACTTGAAACAACCATATTAATTTTACTACAGCTTCAACCAAGGTCTTATTTTCTTCAGTTTTATATGTAGAACCAGTCAGTCACTGGTTTTGTAATCAACGAAAACAAAGCTGGCTCATTTCCTCGTGTTTTAATATTCTACGTATTATTAATGAATTGTATTGCTCATTTTGCTCACACAAACATTAATTCAATCAAAAAGACTTTCAGTAATAAACAATAATGAATCTTTTGTACATAAGAGAAATGACGCTGTTTACAGATTGTGCACGTCGTCTGAACGTTGGTGGGCCGTTCAAACCCGTCGAAATTCGAGTTTCCGCCGTCAAAATTTTTAAATGTGTTGTTTTTTTTGTGTGTTCAAATAGAAAACATCGAATTAAAAACTCGCGAAATTTGAGAAGCTACTGTACGACATTTAACCCTTCAATATGTCTTCAAAGAGACCATGAAGCAGAGAAAGTGGTGCTAGTGCTTCCAAGCCAAGTCACTATCTATCTAGGAAAAGGGTGAATTTCCATGGTCCGGCACCGGTCAGGTCCCGAGGTTGCCGGACTAGAGAGGTACAACCTGTACTTTATTAGCCTTTTCTTTATTCACCTCTTGTGTACAAATGGTCTCTCCGTGCTGAATAAGATCATTTGGTCTTAGCCAAGTAATATATTGAAAGTGGCATCCTGTAATGAATGGGTTAAGAAGTAAAACAAATGTGCAACTGAGTTTGTGTGTGTGTGGAAGCATCACTTGATGTATTCTACTGTTGGGTTGGGTATCGTGGATGACCTAGGACCCAGGAAATCCGCAAAACCAGTTTGGTCGTGGTCCCAAAGGTCTTAGACTTGAGGGTCAGTACCTGTACTTCTATTTTTAGCTAAAGTAAACCACTCTTAATACAGCACAGTACTATATGTTGCTTTTACAGTAGTTTGTCTTTATACAGTGCACTCACCAAGTCTGGGATGGCAAGCTCTGAAATGCCTGTGTCTTTTGATGGTGCAAAAAATTACAAACAATTTGAGGATTTTTTTTTTCACATAGATCAAAGTATGGTATAAAAAAAATCACCAAGATTTTCGTTAATTGGAAACTGAATATAACAATTCCTTTACTTCAATGGTCAACCTACCAGAGGAAAAACATGTCTGGTAGACTCCTGTGTTTAGAATAAGATAAGTGCACACAGTATCTCATTGGCACTGAGGGTGGACCGAGTAGCAGTGTTACTGGAGTTTAATAAGTTAACCCCTTGTGTATGATACCACCTCTGAGCTGAATGAAATAATCTGGCTTTAGCCAAATTAAATGTTTAACGTGGCGTCCCCGTAGTGAAGAGGTTAGGAGTGGATGTTTTTATTGGAAAAGATTACACCATGTAATGACCTAATGTCAGTGTTTACTGCAAGTGTGTTGGTATAAGAGAGCCATCTTTCCTGGTATGTTGTGTATCTGGCCACACACACACACCTGTAGTTCAGTTCATTGCTTTCTACAGGTGTATCATTGTGGGCAAGGTCCAGACATGAGATTTCTAAGATGTTATTTGTGAAGCCTAGGCTATTATTGCAAGATAAGGATTATTCTGACATATGATTGTTCAGGCTGTTATAGGCTGTGCTTGTTTATAATGAAACTCGTGGTAATTCACACCTCAGGATTGGTCAGGCATATACATAATACTTTTTTTTGGATGTTTGTTTGTTTTTTTGTTTTTTTTTCATATCCACATTTGAGCCATACGAGTGCATTGTCTTGGGTTGTTGCCTCTAGAAGCAGTTGGGATTTGACTCAAGATATATTACAAATTATTATTTAATCATAGGTTGGGATATTAGTTCTTTTACATATCTTGAAAATATTTTCAGGTTACAGGAACATGTTAATGATGTTAGCCTACCTCCCATCCTCATCTACCCTGAGGGTGTTTGTGTCAACAACACTTCTGTTATGCAGTTCAAGAAGGGAGCATTTGAGGTAGGTCACTAGATCACAATCCTCTCTACTTTTGTTTTCATCTCTGTGCCTTTGATGTTTAGTTCCACCCACAACATGAGAGATGGCCACATGTGAGATTGTCTTCATTAGCTCCGTATCTCAAGTACAGTGGTCCATCGGTTAACGAACTGTTTGATTAACGAAATTTCGGTTTACGAATTAGCTCCCATAAGGATTTTCAGTTCGGTTAACGAACAAAACTTCGATTAACGAAATCCTTACAACAAACATGTTTTGTTGTGCGCATCAGCTGATCAGCTAGCTCACCAATACAGTAATTGGTTCTATGTTTACATTCGTTTCCAGTGAAGTAAATATCAAAAAAGTTGGTTTCTGTGTTCCAACTTATGTATAAATCTGACTGAAGAACGTCCTCAGAAACGGAACCCGTTCGTAACCCGGGGACCTCCTGTATTCACTGGTTGGTGATTCAACATCATTTCTTTATCCTAAGTAAAAGAGCACGCTAAAATATATCTTGATTTAGCTATAAAAAGTTATGCACATTAACCCCTTTACAGAGTGCATTGGTTCTAATGCCTTCTTCATGTTTCATGATACTTTCTGCACTGTATATTATCAATATGTTAACTAAATTTCAGAATGACCAATATTTTTAATGTAAAAATGCAAAAATATTCAAGAGCACAATAAAATTGATGTTCACTCCACTGTAAACAAAGTTAAACTGAGAAGGGTTGTTGGGTGATTCAATCAGCTGATGGGAGCACAAAAAATGTTCCCTGTACTGTCTATATTATCAATATGTTAACTAAATTTCAAGGAAAAAACTTTTTATACTTGCTAACTGACACCAGTGAAACAGTTGCTTGATATACAGCCCTTTTGGCACAAGTACACACACCTCTTTGAATATCATCACTTAGAACTGCTTATCAGTCGTCATTTTCATCAATTTAAATAAAAGATCTCTATAAGAAGTGGAAATCTTTAATTCAGCACTCATTTTATACACCTGGTCACCTCCACGTCTAGCGGGCTGTAGTGTTTACATTCTTTCTCTTGTTTTTGTCGGTATGACAACGACGGGAAATATTTTCCAACGGTAGAAGGTAAGCAAATGTAAACATGTATATCAATGTGTAAAGAAAACAAAAAATCTTTATTTAATCCTTAACCCCCGGGTTAGGGTGCTGCTGGCAGTACCTCCCGCTGGGTTAAATCGTGAAAAAAAATCAACTTTTCCAAAAAAATTAAATTAAAAATGGCTGGAAAATAGGCGAACGTTCTAGAACATCACCCGGGGCCTAAGGGTTGAAAAAATAAAGTGAAAAAGCAACTCTGTAAAAATCAGTTGAATTAAAATTTTTGGTGTGAAGAAACAAAAATTTCTGAGCTTTGAGACCAGGAGACAACCTTTCGCTATTTCTCAATAGATGGCGCTGCCACACCACTGCCATTAGTAAACAAACCGCACAGCAGCAAGGGTTGTGTAGCTACAGCCGTTTATTTTTTTTATTTTTTACCTACTGAGTAAGTAAATAATTGTATTTTTTGCAGTACAGTATATCAACAATATTAGTTAAATCAATTGTTTTATATGTACTGTAGTATAGAGAATACTTGTAATTGCTAAGTACTGTAATGAGGTAACAGTCTTTGTAAGGGGCTGATTTCAGTTGACCCTAAGAAAGCATCTGCTACAACCCATCAACTAGCATCATGGAAGATGCATGGTAATTTTCAAGGTACTGTATATTGCAATAAAAAGTGCGTCTTCTATGCCGCAAAATACGGTAGTTGTAACTTAAGAAAATTGTACCCTGTATGTTATGTTGCTTAACCACGTAATTATATTCCCAGGTATGGAACATTACCGTATATCTCAGCCTACAAGACGGAATTTGAACCATAAAAAATGAGCCCAAAGTTACGGGGTCATCTTAAGCACCAGAGATAAAATTCTTATCTCTTAAATATTGCGGTTTAGCTGTCAAGAGTGGTGATGGAAACATCGTAAGCCACTCACAAGGTCCTAACACTAATTATTTTATACTGAAACTTACGTTTGGGAAGCTGGATTAAAATAAAGATTACCGGAATATTAAAATAATAAAAATGTATTATAAATCTGTCTAACATACCGTAAAAGAACAATATACCCCGGTAATAAACACAGCTGCTATTATCACCCCCCCCCCTCCCATTTGCCAGTGACAAGAAAGGGAAAGTGACCTTGACTGTGACCGCCTGTGGCTATTTTTAGCCGTCCTTGTGTTCGGAGGTGGTCAGTAATGTATATCTGTATATTTACTGATCATAATACTTATCTCCTATAAATAATTCATTTAAAATTTATTTTTTTACAAAGAATATTCAGTAAATGACTGTTTTAATTCTTGAAACTACCAACAGTGGTAAATTTAGGATATAAATGATGAACAGAAGTCACGTCATGGATTCGGAGTTTGGTCCTTAATGATCACCATAAATGTCTGGTCAACTTCACCTACCAGGTATAATGGTAGCCTCCCTTTTTTGCAAAACAAGTACAGCTAGACCCCGACTTATAACGGGGTTAGGGACCTAAATCCAGGTCGTAAGTCCGAATGGTCATAAGTCCGACATAGATATAAAAAAAAAACATTAATAAAAAGTCTACAATGAAATACAGTACAGTAAAAGTAATAAATAATGAGGAATGGATACAGTACAGTGAAAGTAATAAATAATGAGGAATGGATACAGTGTGACTGAGCACTTACTGTACCTTTAATGTAGTCAGCTGAATGCACATGAGGCCCCCATAATTTTCTAATTATACATGGAGACTACATTAACTGGAAACGTTTCGGTATAGAAAATGCGTGTGTCATTTGGAGAGAGAAAAAAAATGAAAAAAAAAATGGTCACAACTGCGGCGGTCGTAAGTCCCGACGGTTGTAAGTCGAAGCAGTCGTAAGTCGGGGTCTAGCTGTATATAATTAAAGAAAATACTTGCAGTGTGTTTAATATATTACAGTATATTATTAATAAATAAATAAACAAATAAATTGGGAAATCTATTTCAAGTAAATGGAAATATTTTACTCACACCGACATTAGTTCCAGTTAAATAACTGACGCTTAAGTGAGTCACTAGTGTACACCAGCCGGTAAAATTTGATGCCAATACTTTAAGTGAATTGGTCTTTATTTTAAATAACCAACCATAAATAAATGCAAAAAGGAAAAAGATCAAAGGTGAGAAACATTATATTGTATGTATGTTGTGTTGTCAAAGGAAGAGAAACAATTGAAACTCTGCAATTGTGTGTAAATGAGGCAGAAAGATAGATCAGCAACTTAAGACTTGGTCACAATTTTCGTGATGCCATATGGAAGCAGGATCTACCATTAGACAATACTGAACATTATGCTTCCAATATCTTCCCAGGCGGTAGTATCTCCCTGTTTGGTAGCTGCCTAAAAATTTTAGTAATATTACTTTGATACAACATGATAAATTAGACAAACAATGAAAATAAACAAACAAAAGTTATTTACCAAGACCTTCTCTCTGAGAACAGAGGGATGGAGGGGAGATAAGACGGCTATTTATAGCCCGTCTTTGTGTAGGAAGTCGACCACACTATAAATATTTCATTTAAAATTTATATTTTTTACATATTGTGTAATAAATGTATGTAGTAAGTATGTACAGTAATCTTTTTCACTCAAATCCTAATGAAACACTATTGAATTAGAATACTGTAGCTGGTGTAAACAGTCGGAACAGTCCCACCACCTATTGTCTCTCGTGAAGCAAGCTTATAAATTAAAGAAAATACTTGCAGTGTGTTTAATATATTTCAGTATGTTATAAATAAATAAACAAATAAATCGGTAAATCCATTTCAAGTAAATGAAACAATTGTATTCGACACCGACATTAGTTCCAGTTAAATAACAGAAGTTTAAGTGAGTCACTAGTGTTTACACTACACCAGCCGGTAACATTTGATGACATTACTTGAAGTGAATTGGCCTTATTTTAAAAAACCAAGGATGTGTAAACAGCACTGGTCAATGGGATGGTTGGTAAAGGACTACTGGGTCAGTAAGCTCCCAATGGTAAGTGTCACATTTGGGGTACTGGTCTTATACAGCGAATAGAGCTCAAAAGCGACTTTTTAAATGGAAATTTTGGGGGCCATCTTTTCACCCCGTCGCCTTGTAGGCCGAGATATACGGTAACCCTTAAGCCCCGGGTTAGGGTGCTGCTGGCAGTAACCCCCCCTCCCCCCCGCGCAGGGTTAAACCGTGAAAAAAAATCCAAAAATAGTTTTAAAAAAATAAATAAAAATAAATAAAAAAATGGTGGGAAAATAGGTGGACGTTCTGGAACTTGACCCGGGGCGCACTAGTCGGACGCTCTGGAAAGTCACCAGTGGCCTAAGGGTTAAACTATCAAAGAAACATGTCACATATTAAACATGACAGAGTTGTAGCCTGTTTTGACAGTGTTTACTTTTAGGCTTCACAATTATGTAATACATTTTCCTTACCTGTTTTTATAATAAAATACATATAGCAATACAGGTATATCCATATTTACTCTAAGGATCCTCATATATACAGCATATGTAATGACTTGGGGTCGCACTGGATAGGCGACAGTACTAGAAGGGGTCGCACTGGAAAATGCTTGCGAACCCCTGATATATACAGTAAAGACCAGCAGGATTGCGGAGGGTGTTAACTGATGACAGCACAAGTTTTCAGCTCATGACTGGCTTGATCATGGCAGTTTTATTGGGCACATAAATACTATTCAATTTTAGCTTTAGCTAGATGATATACAGTACATAGTTTGGTACTCTGTGGGGAAGCTTCAGTGAGGTTGTTGTAACATTGAGTCTCAGAAAGGTAGATGCCTATTGTGTACAAGAAACTAGCTGGAAAGAATGAGCTCTTAGGTTGATTATTGGTAAAAATGACAGCCAAAATCTTTTCTGGGTCAGGTAGTGTAGTGATCCTGATGGCTGAAAAGTGGCTAGAGAAAGTGCTAGAAGTAAAAAGATTAAATGCAAGAATTCAGTAACAGTTCAGCATATACCCCACAGATTGGACTAAATTAGGAAGTATAGGACAAATTCATTGTTGAGTTGATACATGTAGCATAAGAGCATGATGAAAGGGTAATCGTAGTACAGGTATAGTGTATATAGTACCATATTTTATTTATTTACAATATATTGTACATGTGCAGTGGTGTTTGCGTAAATAGATGCAGCTATGTCTTTGTCCATGCGAAACGCGTAGTTTAGACTCTCGAAAAGCTTTCCCCAGCACCTTGAAGCATTCTAGGGAAGTGGGATAGTGTCTGTCTGTGTGAGTTAAGTAGTTTATTCTCTTGGAAAAATTCCAGGATGGATTTTTTCAAGGGATGAAAAGTTTGTTTCAATATGTGGAAATCTCTCATTCCCAGAAGAACTCTACGCCAATTATTCTGGCTAACGGGGATATCACAACACACTTAATGGTCAAACTGTTTCCCCCTGGACTACCTTGCCTGGGTCCAGCCCTGTTGCCAATGACATAATGCTCGCAAACAGGAATTGTCAAAGGTCCCGCCTTAATGCATCTTTGTGGCAAGGTTAGGGAGGAGTGGGTCATTGGGTCACTGAATGGTGGTCTAAGTCAACCTCAGTTGACTGTCAGTTCAATAACTGACCATTATGTAAACATAAGGGAACAAAACTTTATAAAAATACCATATTTATGTTACTGGTTATGCCATTATTAGAAATTGCACTTTACCCATAAACCAGCCTCCCAAAAATGCCAACTTGAGTAAAAAACACCCCAAGAACCACCAACCCGCCTCTGTCAAAATTTGTCAGCTAACCATACTTAAAACTAGACCAATTTGAAGTGAAACCTGCCAATCTGGCAATTCTACTAATGGGTGAGAGGCTAACACCATCTTGGAGCAATTGTCAGAAGCCACCACAAAGGTGCTCGGCAAATACAAAACATGGGAAATTTTAATTGGGCTCATTCAAAATATATTGCAACAGTTACAGTATATCCAGAAAAGTGTGACCCTCTGTCCTGCACCTGTTGTGGGACATGCCTGCCAGGAGTTATTGTGGCCCAGCAACTTAATGCATTAACTCTTACACTATTATTAACCATTTCCACCGCTCTCAACCTAGCTTAAAAACAAAAAATATTAATAATAATTTCCACACACTTGTTCTTGGAACAAACAATTTCTTTCTTTCCCTGCTCCTTTCTAACTTCACATGTTACACAAGTGATCTATTTTGCAAGGCACATTTTTCCCCGCTGCACCCCTAACAAGCCTTCTCTCTGATTTCCTGAAAAATATGTAGTCAATCTCGGTTTTTGTACCACCTGATTTGTATTTAATGAGTCACCTCACCATATTCATAAACAATGTGTTGCATACAACTACTCTCAGTTCACACCCAAATTCAATTACAGTGATACCCCGATTTACGAGGTCAATTGAACCCACAGGGTACCGCGTAAAACGAAAACCGCGTAAATGGAATAACAGAACATGTGGGATTAATTCCAATAGAGACTGGCCCGACCCCCAAACTCCACTTTTTCAGACACAATACCTACGTTGTAGTAAAAATAACTTCTTAATTTTATGAAGGTATGCACACACAATTAATATTTATTAATTGTGTGTGCATACCTAATATTATTGATATTTCGCTTAATTATAATTAAGCGAAATATCAATAATATTAGGTTTTTTAACACTTGCATTAGTAGAAAAGATGGCTGGGCACACGGGGATGGGGGGTTGGTTCCGAGGCAGAGGGCAGATTATTGGCCCTCACCTGTATCACTTGTATCAATTGTATCACTATCCACCACAGAGGCTTGCAGGGCCTCTTTGTCAAACCTCTCAAAGTCCATATAAGTCCATATCCTCACTATCACTGACTTGGGCCGGTGTGGTGGGTGGCGGGTGAAGAACTCGGCAATGTTTTGATGACTGGGCGACCTTGTGCGCATCCTGCCTGCGCTGCTTCCCGCGTATATGAATAGATGCACCGCGTAAAATGAAATTCCGGTTCTGGCGAGGTACCGCGTAAATGTAGAATCGCGTAAAGCGAAACCGCGTAAATCAGGGAATTACTGTATTCTTAAGCCTTCAGTGTTTCTTGTTCCAAATCCACTTCCACCATGCACACCTTCATAACCCGATGTGTGTTCACCAATATGACTGATTAGGTCATCACCCAGTACCATAATGTACAAGTCTATCACCCCAAGTGAAATGGACCAGTATGAGAAAGATTGGTAGCTGGTATGGAAGAGTGGTAGTGTTGGAAAAATTTTGATTACACCAATAGACAGCCAACAAATTCAGCATTAATGTGCTTCCCTTTTTGGACGTCCATAAAAAAAACTTACTTAACTCTCATCAGTTCATCCTGGGCTACCATGAATAGCCTGCATCTGTGTGATGTTAGGGTCAGATTCTGAATGGAGAAACCTCTCACTCAGCTTATTTCACTGCAAGGTTAATCCATAGAGAAGCTAGTCTCATCTAGTTAGGAAACTCTTTACAATGGTACTGATTCCTCAAGTCCTCAGTTTTCAAATTGATTCCCTGGGGTAACTCTCAGCTAGTACTGTCTTCTTGTTTTAATCCCATTCCTAAATTGTAGCCTTGGCATTGATAAGTGGCTGAGTGGTCTCCTGGTGTTTGGTACTATTCTCCTTCCAAGTAACAGTATGAGTTTTCCTGCAGTAGTTTAGTAAAGGTGTAATACTCTGCAGAGCTCCCTGGAATATTGTGTGACCCATGTACGGTAACAGCACAGTGGGATTCGTCATTTGAAAATTTTATGTGGCAAATTACAAAAGAAGCATATCTACCAGAATCACCTTCCTCTTGGTTTCAATAAAGTTTTTTAACATCTCCAGTGGGAAGTGCTACGACCCTCGTTGGTAAACATTATGAAATACTTGAGGCTTCCAAATACAAGTACACAAAATTTACTAAGTTTGTAGTCCATATAACCTTAGCATCTTCTCACTATTGAACACCTGTGCTAATTGACAGTTGCTGCCTCCACTATGTGCCACATGGCATGTTTTGTTAGTTATTTGGTATGATATGGAAAAGTTTGAAGTAAGGTTTGTTGTTCAGCATTTCCAAAACTAATCATATTATGGAGTTACACATTATGAAAGTTTTTACTGTACTGTATCGGTAAATTGTAAAACTATGTTGTGCCTAGCCTAATGCATTTTATCTTTTGCAGATTGACAGTGTCATTCATCCAATTGCCATTCGGTTTGATGCACGGTTTGGTGATGCCTTCTGGTGGCAAGACAAGTTCTTCCATTATATCTTGTACATGATGACTTCTTGGGCTATTGTCTGCAATGTTTGGTATCTGCCGCCCATGAAGAAAAAATCTGGTGAATCTGCCATAGCGTTTGCTGATAGGTAAGAACTCATGAAAATAATATGTACTGTATACGATATTTATATAGGGGTACAGGTGTATAAGATTCAGAAAATAAAATAAATACCTGCACAATTTATATGCAGGTATTTGTTAACATTATGTTATCAGTCTGTTGCTAGATAAAAGAATTTTCTGTATGCTTGTTTTATGTTTTGTTTTGAATCCTCCTCATCTCATCTTATCATCTGGTACAGTGGTTCCCGAAACATCTGCTTTTTCCCAAATTATATATTAACTACTCATTTTCATCACTTACCCTTGAAACTGAAGGTGTATGTTAACGATTTGTGCATTTTTATATAATAGGCATGAAATTTAGCTCGACGATTGCTTTCTGTGTGTAACAATCCTAGATACCTGTACAGTATAGGGGTATTTTCAGCTTAATCTCTTGCCTATTTCCAAATGGTCTCCCAAAAATCCTGGTCTCTAGCCTGAGTTAAAAGTGAATGTAAAATGGAGCCAAGGGCAGATCCAGGAATATCAAAAGGGTGGGGGAATGTGGCGAGTGCAGCGAGCTCACCCAGCTGGGGTGTTGGGGGCACTGCCCCCTCCCCCCCTTTTTTTTTTATCTGGCCAATATCATAGGCATTTTGAGGCCATTTTGAAGCCATTTGCACTTGATATTAGGAGATATTCTGAGGTAAATAGTAACTTACTTTTTACTATTCAAATATACCTGAGTACAATACTGCATTAAAGAAAACTTATGAGAATTTTCTGATGAAAGGGGGTTCCCCCCCCCCCGGATCTGCCCTTGGGAGCACAAAGCAGATGAAAATGTAAAGTATTCACCAAAAAAATTTGTATAGTAGAAGAAGAAAGTGGAAGGGAAAGCCATTTATGGATTTACAATTTTTTTTTCACTTTATAAAATGAGACCTGAAACAAGAATAGAAATTGAAAAACATAGAATTACTGAACACTTTACTTATAAAATTGATGGTTTCAAATGAAGGGCATTGTAGCCAACTATCTGTATTACCTTCTCAGTAGCTGTTCCAGCTTCACCTCTCCCATTACCAACACAGTCACCATTGCAGGCCCACAAAGCATTGCACAGTATACAGGTACTCCTCAACTTACGGCCACCCGGACATACGACTGCCACAGTCGTATAAAATATTTTTCAAATTACGTATTTTCGAGTACCGACGTTAGTGATCGCGCTGTGTACTGTGTACTGTTTGTATTTCACATCTACATCCATCACGTGATCCAGCTTCATTGTTTTTCCACAGAGAGCTTCTTGATGGACAATGCAATTGACAGCCAGAACATCCTAGTTAGAATTATCACAGTGCACATGGTTCTTGATGAGCGTCAAAGCACCATTTTCTCTTCCCATCATTGCTGGTGCTCCATCTGTTGTCAGCCCAGCAAGCTTACTCCACAATAAATGAGGGACTCTTCTAGTCATAAAATTTATTAAAATAGCCTCTTTCACATAACTGCCACAAGTCTGATCATGAAGACTTTCCAAAGCTAGCAAGCAAGGTTATCTTCGTGGATACTGAACTTATCTGTGATGCCCGGGACACAGAAATCCTAGAAAATACTGTTCCTGTGTGACACTCACCAGTTGATTTGCCAAAAAATTATCAAAGACAATTTAGATAAAAAAATGGCTTGATGAAATATGCAGCCATAGTACGATCTCAAGCGAGTCTGGTATTCCTGAAAATGTCAAAACATTCACTGTTTCCAAGACTGAAATATTCTTGTTTGTTCTGTAGTTGTTGTTTTTACCAATGAAGGACATGCTATGTACAGTTTATAAGTAAAATAAAATTATATATGTTTAATCAATTGTTTGCTAACTGTGTGTTCATGGTTAGAAATGCCCATTTTAGAAGATTTAAACTGTATTTACAGTATTTGCAGAGGCTCTTAATATTTTCTCAAGAGCCTCATGGATCAGGTATTTTTCTTCCTAGACCATGAGTTTGACACCCCAGTTGTAGAGTGTCAGTAAAGTTTTTTGTAATTTATAAAATTTTTGGATCCTACCCTGTAATTTGTGCCCAATTTTATTCCACAACTTGTACACTTATTTTTTTTTTTTTTCAGTATTTCCTAAAATTGTCTGAACCACAGGAGTTTCTTGTTCATGGAAATCCAATTAGGGAGATTCATTGTGTATGTACTGAACTTTGTCTCATTCACAGAGTCAAGGCAAAGATTGCACATCAAGGAGGCATGATTGATCTTACGTGGGATGGGTTCCTGAAATGTAACCCAGTGAAGGCAGAATGGAAGAAACGCCAGCAAGAGGAGTTTGCAAAGCATCTACAAACTGAGAAAGAATTGATAACTGCTGAACCAGTGAAAGACAAAGAAGAATAGAAACAGAAACCTCTAGCAAGTGATAAAAGACTTGTTTTGTCAATAAGATGTGAGCTAGCTATGAAAAGAATGAGATATTGCACAAGTTAGTAGAGAATAATCAAAAATATAATAATAATAATACAGGTTGATAATCCCTTATCTGAAATCCTTGGGGCCAGAGGCATTTCGGATTTCGGAATTTTTCAGTTTTAGATTTTTTTTTTTTTTTTTTTTTTTAGCCCACCCGGGCACAAGTTACTGACCCACATTGGGCCTGGGGGGCGAAAATAAAATAATAAGTATAATAATAATAATAATTCATAGGTTTAGGTCGTGTTTCTCACTTTTTATCTTTTTTTTCATTCTTGTATACAGTGAACTCTCACTTTACACGGTCAATTGAACCCACGGTGGCCCGCGTAAAGTGAACAACATAACATATAGGATTAATTGAAATAGAGACCCAGCCGACCCCCCAAACTCCACTTTTTCAGACGCAATACCTACGTTGTAGTAAAAATAACTTCTTAATTTTATGGTGGTATGCACACACAATTAATAATTAAGAGAAATATCAATAATATTAGGTTTTTTAACACTTACATTAGTAGAAAAGATGGCTGGGCACACGGGGATTGGGGGTTGGTTCCGAGGCAGAGGGCAGATTATTGGCCCTCACCTGTATCACTTGTATCAATTGTATCACTACCCACCACAGAGGCTTGCAGGGCCTCTTTGTCAAACCCCTCAAAGTCCATATAAGTCCATATCCTCACTATCATTATCACTATCACTGACTTGGGCCGGCTATGGTGGGTGGCGGGTGAAGAACTCGGTAATGTTTTGATGACTGGGCGACCTTGTGCGCACCCTGCTCGCGCCGCTCTCCGCGTAAAAGGGTATACACACCGCGGAAAGTGAGCATTCCGTGTTCGGCAGAGTACCGTGTAAACGTGGAAACGCGTAAAGTGGGACCGCGTAAAGCGAGGGTTGACTGTATCTTTATTATTATTATTTTATTACTACAGTATTATTGTTATCATTATTAATTTTATTATTATTATTATTATTATTATTATTATTATTGTTATTATTATTTTATTTTGGTGTATTTTTTATTAAAAAATTTATTACTGTGAATAATAATTATTATTATTACTATTACATTTTCGCCCCCCCCCCCCACCCCCCCAGGTCCCAATGTGGGTCAGTGATCTATGCCTGGCTGGGCTAATCCCTGTTGAAAAAAAAAAATTGCTCCACAAAAAAAACTTTCGGTTTTCAGAGCTTTTCGGTTTTCCGAATTTCGGATAAAGGGTTGTCAACCTGTAATAATAAAAAATGAAGCTCAATGAATATGAAAAAGATGGCTTCTTTATCCATTTTAAGAGAGTAGTTGAAACATAAAATGTTTCCTTCTCCCCACTCTGCTTCAAACCAGTGCCTCACTAAGTGTATACTGTAGTTAATTAAGCTTAAGTAAGCATCAAGGATAGTACAGTCCCTCATCTTGTAAGTACAAGACAATACCCAACAGTGACGAGCCGGCACTTTTTAAAAATAAGAAATGGTACATCACAGTTTTTTGACTGAAAAAATGCATAACATCACCAAATATTGTTGGATTTTAATGAACAAGGTCTCACTTCATAGGTATTTTACCATTGATTATGGGTAGGGTAGTGTAAAAGGGAAAATATGGCCACAAATGCAGCAACAAACACAAATATTTATGATGTGAAGGTAAAAAGTGTATTACCTGTACAGTATTACCACATGACTGTGTCTATTATTGTTGAATACAGGTGTTCCTCTACTTACGAAAGAGTTACGTTCCTGAGGCTTGTTTGTAAGTCCAACTTACTCCTGTAGATACCAAACATATTGTAAAAAATTAAAAGATTATGGATATTTAGTACAGCTATACTGTACCCTTTAATACAGCCTTAAAACCTGGCTCACTCTTCTCTTAGGTAATGTCTGTTCTATCTGGAATTTTCTTCAAAATAATCCAGTCTCATCCACATTAAACACCTGTTCTGGCAGGTAACCCCCCTCAGTGATGATGTTTGTATCGCTGAAAGTTTGTAAGTTGAACGTTCTAAAGTAGAGGAGCACCTGTAATTACTTTTCCTAACTTAAAATAACTGTTGACTTGTACCGATTGTTGGTATTCCTTGTCGACTGCTGCCATGTTGTCTGTAGTGTCTTGGAGAACAACTGGGTCCAGGTAGAACTGTTTTTACCGTGTGGGGATTATATTTCATTAGTGTCTCCAGGTCCTCTAGCTTCTCTCTTGTCAATTTTATGGGCCCATCTTACTTTACTGGTCAGAACTATCTAAGACAGATTGACGGTAAGTAATATCTCCATTAGCCGGAATCCCTCAAGCCCAGAACTCTCCGATAGCCGGAATTGAAATTTTTGCGGATCATTGTTCCCAAAGCCGGAATTTTCCGGAAAATTCCGGCTTTGGGAACGTTTTTCCGAGGGGCACATTTCCCAGAAAATTACAAGAATTTTTTCCCGGTACCCGGAAAATTCCGTTGATGAGGGAGTTTTTTTCCAGGTTTGAGAGATGATGTATGGGGCAATTTCTTGAACTTCCGAGAACATTTTTCCATTACCCATACAATTCCGGGAATGAGGGATTTGTTTTACGGCTTTGAGAGAGTCGTCTCGTTCCCGGAAGTGCTCTGCACCAATTGTTCTGGCTAATGGAGATATTACTGTATGTGGGTCTTGCTCCCTGACCCTGCTCTTCGGAGTTTCACCTGAATCAGGTCACTGGCATGGAACTTGGACCTAATAGCAAAGCCCTCTTTGTAGGTTTTGGTAAACACAAATACTGGGATTGGCAAAAACAATTGTTTAAAAAAAACATTGCTATTATGTTGTTTTTAATAAGTTTTAGGTATTTTTAGCCCTTTCTATAACTGTTTGATATGCTATTATTCATAAACAGTACATCCAGAATGATTTAGCAATCATTTATACTCTTTTCCATCTCAAAAAATCACTGTGAAAAGGCCAAATTTGAAAAACACAAGCATTGATCAGTTATCTAGAATCATCCTACATACTTAAAGGCAAAAACTAAATGGTCTGAACACATTAGAATCAGGGGTTTAGAGCCCAACCTTAAACAGAAGCTGTCACCAGTTTTACTGGACAGTGGCAACTTGGCTCCCTTATAATTGGAATTTGAGATGTGTGCAGCCCTCTAAGAAAGCTTATTATCACGACTTTCACCAGTGTATAATAGTTCACATCCATGTCTATATTGAACAACCACAGGAACATAACACATCCCTGTCTAACGCCCACATTTATTTCAAATGTTCTCATAGAATACTTGTACCGCATTTTATAAGGCTTCCTCCCACCCCATACACTTGTAATACCTCCCATGATGCTTTTCTGTTCATCCTATCATATTGTATGCATTTTCCCAATCTACCATAAATCATTAAACCCATCTGCAAGAAATAAAAACCAACAAAACACTCCATAAAAAACAAAAAATGCATAGATTAAAAACAATGAAAATACCAGTGGTGTTTTGTGGGGGGGTTTAAACTATTAGTTTAAATCTGCCAACTCTGACAATTACTTTGCCATCTTGAAACTCATTCCTGTAGCTGTCCACTTTGTCTCCTGCTTCTGTTGTTCAATGAATTCCAGGAATTGATTTCTTGACATCACTACTGTGAATGGTTTAGTTAAATGTGCACTGTAGATCATAAATGCATAGTTTTCCTGGGTATACATCACCATATCTTTTATTTTATTTTCTGTATTCAAAATCACAGTCACGCGGCAGGTAAGCAGGACCAAATATCTTAATGGTCAATAGTATTGAACCAACTTTCATGGAGTTTTAGGAGACAAGTAAGTACTGTACACATACTATGTTTGTGTTCTTATTCTGTTCATTGCATTTGTAACTAAACATCACAAGTGTCTTCAGTGTAATTAATGATTCAGTGTTTGAGTCAACTAGCAATGTTAGCAGATTCACATTTTCCTTTAGTTTCATTCCAGACATACATAACAACCCTCCCAGTTTGTATGTTATGCACACTGAAATTGCATACCCATGACTTGTAGCTCTAATATTGTATTGTACAACAGTACTTAACTTTGGGGTTGGTAATGCCTGTTGTAAATCAAAGGTAATTGCTCCAGCTGTTTGGTCCTGGCCATCCATGTACGAGTGATGAATGATTTGGGCAGCTTTGTCACATGCCTCTTATATGAGTTTGTTTTCTTTCAGTTAAAATATACTTTCAGTATGTGTCTACACTAAGACTAGAAAGCTCAATACTCTATTCACTTTTATCACAGCATTATAGTTACAAGTGTTACTTTTAGAAGGTTCAAACCCCATATTAAAGGTCCTGTTTGATAACATCACGATAGTATTTGGGATTCACAGGTTCCATTTTGGTATGATTCTCCTTCATCCTCATTTGTTGTACATAATGTTAATGTTCAGACTGGTGGGCAGGTACTTCTTATGAGGGCTTTTGGCTTTACTGTAGTGGCTGAACACACTGTCTACCTCTGTTTATCTTGAGATTTTCCTTATAGACTGTCACTTGCCATATTAGTCCACTTCTGTTGATGCAGTAACAGACTGCTTCATTAATATTGGTCTTGCATAATGCTCTCTAATATCGTGTATGTTATAGAAGGCCTTGGAACATGCATCATGAATCTGGTTTTCATACATGACTATTAAGTAATGTGGTGGAGTGTCCTAATATGGCTTTGTTTCACTTAATTCTAACTCAAGCTTAGACAGATAGGCATTTTGCTGACTGAAATCATGTATAGCCCAAAACTTGTTGAAAATAACCTTAATCTTGTCCATGCCTACATTATTGAAGCAGCCACAAGCACATGCAAGCCCCACAACATGGGCAGTAACAGAGTGTTTAGTTTTGTAACTAATGTATGCTTTATCTCTGTTCAGTGGCATATATAATTTTCTGGAAGAGGGGTGGGGGGGAGAATGGAAGATAGGGACATTACTTTAATTCTATCCAGTGGTGTAAGCAGGGGATGAGCATAGTGAATATTAGTACTTTATCCCATTGGCACATGATTCAGTCACTCATACTTTTTACAATCTGTTTTATGATATTACATTAATTCTAGCCACACTGAGTTTTGTGTGTGAAAAAATAATTACTATTGTACAATATG